CTTTGGATAAATACCCAGTACTGCGGTTACTGGGTTGTAGGGTAGTTCTATTTTTAATTTTTTGAGGAACTTCCATACTGTTTTCCACAATGGCTGCAGCAGTTCGCATTCCCACCAAGAGTGTAAGGGGGTTCCTTTTTCTCCATATCCTCACCAACACTTGTTGTTACTTGTGTTTTTGAGTTTAGCCATTTCTGACAGGTGTGAGGTGATTATCTCATTTTAGTTTTGATTTATATCTTCCTGATGATGAGTGTTGCTGAGCATCTTCAATGTGTCTGTTGGCCATCTCTGTCATTGGAGAAATGTCTGTTCATGTCCTCTGCCCATTTTTAATTGGATTTTTTTTGGGTGTTGAATTGTAGCAGTTCTTTATATATTTTGGATTCTAAGCCTTTTTTGGACATGTCATTTGCAAATATCTTCTCCCATTGAGTAGGTTGCCTTTTAGGTTTGTTGATTATTTCCTTTGTTGTGCAGAAACTTTTTATTCTCATATAGTCCCAATATTTATTTTTGCTTTTGTTTCCCTTGCCTCAAGAGACATATCTAGAAAAATGTTACAGCTAGTGTCCGAGAGATTACTACCTGTGTTCTCTTCTAGGATTTTTATAGTTTCAGGTCTCACATTTATGTCTTTAATCCATTTTGAGTTTATTTTTGTGTATGGTGAAAGTGGTCCAGTTTCACTCTTTTTGCATGTGGATGTCCAGTTTTTCCAACACTGTTTATTGAAAAGACTTTTTTCCCATTGTATATTCATTCCTCCTTTGTCAAAGATTAATTGACCATATAATTGTGGGTTTCTTTCTGGGTTTTCTGTTCTATTCCATTGATCTATGTGTCTGTATTTGTGCCAGTACCATACTGTTTTAATTACTACTGCTTTGTAATATAACTTGAAATCTGGAATTGTGGTATCTCCAGTTTTGTTTTTCTTTTTCAAGATTACTTTGGCTATTTGAGTCTTTCGTGATTCCATACAAATTTTAGGATTGTTTGTTCTAGTTCTCTGAAAATTGCTGTTGGTATTCTGATAGGGATTGCATTACATCTTTAGATTGCTTTGGGTAGTATAGACATATTATCAATATTTATTCTTCTAACTTGAGCATGGAATATCCATTTTTTTGCATCATCTTGAATTTCTTTCATCAGTGTTTAATAGTTTTCAGAGTATAGGTCTTTTACCTCTTTGGTTAGGTTTATTCCTAGATATTTTAGTTTTTGGTGCAATTGTAAATGGGATTATTTTCTTATATGCAGATTTGTTTTTGATAAATAGGGTATACTACTGTAAATGTATTTTCTCTTCCTTGTGATTTTCTTAACATTTTATTTTCTAGAGAAAATAACTTTATTATAAGAATATAGTACATAATACGTATAACATAGAAAATATATGTTAAGCAACTGTTCATGTTACTAGTAAGGCTTATGGTCAACAGTAGTTTGGGAGAGTCAGAAGTTATATGTGAATTTTCAACTTCATGGAGGGGGTTGGTGCCCCTAACTCCCACATTGTTCAAGGGTCAGCTGTACTTTCTTCTCGCTGAAAACAAGGGAAATGGTATGTGTTCATAGAACTGCAAATTAGAAGCGCTTTTTTAAAAAAAATTGCAGGGCTTTTTCTCTTCTTTCTCCAGATAGGACTGCATATGAATCATCCCAAAATTTAGTGGTCTACCCTCTTTTTTTTTTTAACCCTCTTTTAAAGGAACTACTGCCAGCTCTTTAAGCCTCCAGTTCCATTGACATTCTTTTTTTTTTTTTTAAGATTTATTTATTTATTAGAGTGTGTATGCACTGTTGGGAGGTGCAGAGGGAGAAGGAGAGAGAGAATCCCAAGCAGACTCTCTGGAGCGCAGAGCCCGACATGGGGATCGTGGGGCTTGATCCTACGACCCCTTGATCCCACGACCCCTTGATCCCACGATACCTGAGCCGAAATCAAGAGTCATACACTTAGCCGACTGAGCCACCCAGGCGCCCCTCCATTGCCATTCTAGGTGGAAAGTTTAAGAACCTAACGTTTAGTAGACTTTACAGCTGTTATAAGACAAGATTAAAAGAAATAGAATACACTCAAAGCAAGTTTATTCTTAGTCACTTTTTATTGGGTATTCTGATAACTGAGTTTTAAACATAATTAGGAACCTAAGATGGGTGTCTATTCAATTATTTTTTTATCTGTTATATCTGTTTATGCACTTGAACATGAATTTGAAAGTAATGAATAAATTGGACTTGAGTGATTTCTTTTTGTTTATCTTAAATGAAGAACATTTTATTTTCCTTTTAGTTAACTCTAAGAATAATTGTAAAGCAAATCTACTTTGTATCTTGTATCCTATCCTTGGTTTTGCTGTTTAATGGGGTTGGATTCCACGGCTACGATGTAGGGACCTCTGAGGTGTTTCACCTCAGGTTGACCGTGAATTCACTTAATCACTGTTAACATTCAAGTAAACTTAGCGTTTTTAATCATAACGTTTGCCAAGCTTTATATTGTCAAAATGTAACTTTTTTTAAACTGTCAAATTCAGTACTCTTTGAGTCAGAAATCCTCAAGCAAGTGAAAAGGGGTGGAAATTAGGTGGGATAGTCTTAATAAACATTTTTATTTTTGTTATGACAGAATAGTCTTCCCTTCTTTAAGGCTGGTCAAATTTTAACTCAGAGAGATCCTCTATAATGATGAGATCTTCTGGGATCGCCCAAACTTGGATGAACCTGCATTTGTATGCAGTGGTATTGTGTGTGCTCTTTTGGCATGAAAAGTCAGCCCTTGACAGTATTGCCATCCAAAACCCACAGTGTCTTAGGAGGAGGGATATAGTTTTCAAGGACTCCCCAGAACATAAAATCTTGATTTATTTAATCTCATTTTCAGTGACTACCCTTTGTCATTTGCGGTGAAATTGTATGATTTTTACTTGATACATGGAAACTATTTTATTAAAAAGTCTCCTTCCTTAGCAACATGTGTCATTGTTTTCAGGGTATACCTTTTCAGAAGCTTCACAGGAGGGAAAGCAGTTGACAAAGAAGGAAGTTATCATTCTTTGCACAGTAAAATCATCAACTTCAGTCACCAACTTCTAATTCAAATGAAAAATTTTTTTTAAAGATTTTATTTATTTATTTGACAGAGAGACACATAGAGGGAACACAAGCAGGGGGAGTGGGAGAGGGAGAAGCAGGCCTCCCGTGGAGCAGGGAGCCTGAAGCCGGGCTCCATCCCAGGACCCTGGGATCATGATCTGAGCCAAAGGCAGACGCTTAACGACTGAGCCACCCGGGCGCCCTCAGATGAAATTTTAATTTGGATGTCCTACCGTTCCTTCTTGAAACAGTTTTGTTCCCTGTACGTAATACGTTACTTTGGTTTTATAATTGAAAATAACTGATATAAACAACATCTGAGCTCTTTAGCCTGGAATACTAATATGGTTGATCTTAGGACTTGAATTAAAAGACTTTCTAGAATTTGGGGCAAACCTCTCATTCTTTAAAGTCGGTAAAGTGTCTGCCTTTGGCTCAGGTCATGATCCTAGGGTCCTGGGATCAAGCTTCTTATGAGGTCATTCATATATAGCTCTGATGAGGTCATTCATATATTGGACATATTGGGTCAGTGTTTGCTGGTAAAATACCAAGAGTCAGTAGTGTCCATCTGGCATTTTACCAGTGACTACGTTACAACAGATTTTCAGGAAGTAAGTGTGATGCAGATCTTATCTGACAGAGCATAGAGGATGTCAGGTGCATACAATTTAGATACAGAAGTAAGAGCAAACTGAGTTAACCAGAGGTAGAGGAAATGCTTCAAGACTGGGGTACACAGAGGAATCCAGCCCTAGCGCTGGTAGATGTAATTCCTCTGTATCAGTTTCATCTGTGTGTATGAGTGTGTGTGTTAGAAGGAAGAAGATGGAAAATTTGTTTTATACACTGATAGGAAAGGGTGCAGTCTACATTATAAAACTGAATTCACCAACTACCTGAGTAAAACATTTGATTTGTTAATTGTCAACAAGTTTGTTGAGTACGCTTTTGTAGTACTATATACTGGATATCTTTTCCTTTCTCCCTCCCCCATAGTTGTTAAAAACCAGATGTGTTGGAATTAGGCCAAAAGCCACAACTAGACGGATTTGGTTTCTTCCAAGTTGGAGGATGACTGTCTTTTTCCCTTAAAAAATGAAGTTAACCCTTTTATGTGTTTGTGCTAGAGAAATAAACCAGTCTTCTAGTCACGGTCTTATTTTTTTTTTTTTAAACATGTTAAGTACATTATGATACCATTTTGGATTTTATTTTATTTTTTTTTAAGATTTTATTTATTTGAGAGAGAGAGCAAGAGCGAGAGATAGCAGGGGGAGGGGCAGAGGGAGAGAGAAGCAGGCTTCCTGCCGAGCAGGGAGCCCTGACCCTGGGCTTGATCCCAGGACCCTAGGATCATGACCTGAGCCAAAGGCAGACACTTAACAGACTGAGCCACCCAGGTGCCTCCCCCCCCTTTTTTTTAATAGAATGGGGGAAAGCTTGCTGTAAATAAAACTGATCTTTTAAGGCAAGAAAGGTACCACTTCCCCAGGGTAGTGTTGTAGATCTTTTATTTCCAGGCAAAAATGTCATCATTAGAACTTCTCTCTCCTTTTGATTTATTCCATCCACCCATATACCAGAATGTATTCTGAGTTCCTTCTGGCCTGCCAGTTGTTTGAGCTGAACACTACACACTAGAAGCACGGGGAGAGACCTCACTCTGATTTTTGAACCGGAAACGGAACCAGATTTTGCTATCATTGCAGCACCAAGATGCTAAGAAAGCAAGAGCTACTGTGATTCGTTAATGTTTTCAAATCTACAAGTCCTCTAGTTTATATGAATTTAATTTCAGTCCTATAACCACCCCTTTTCCTCTTGTCCCTTTTTTGTTTCTTAATGAATTTTTCCCAAAACGTTTGCCTTGATTTTTCCCTTTGATTTACCAGATGGAAGCATCCTTTTTCCTGCCAAGCTGACAGGCTTCAAAGTGTAAGTGTCCTTTCTTATATGCAGACTTGAGCCTTACAAAATTTAATGAGGTTGCTGTTACTTTTCTGAGCATTTACCAAATATTTGACTTTTGTTTTGCGGAACTCTCTTAGTCTTGGATATTTTGGTGGCGTTAGCAGTAATTGTAGTAACAAAGACACTGCCACAGGCAATTGCCTTTGGTTTTCTTGTGGCAGAAAAGCTTTTCCCATCTCTGCTGTACATAGCAAGTCCCACTGAAATGAAAAGCTCAAATAGTGATCACAAAAAGAAGTTAATGTGTGAACTAGTTGATGCATGTTAGGAATACTTTATAAGATTTTCACAGTGTGGAAGCTTTTTATAAGTAACTGCATGTTGTTTAGGATAAACACTAAAATGGATTTCTTTTTTTCTGAAACAGTACTCTGGAAGAAATAAGATGGTTTATGCTTTGATGCCACTTGGGGTGTATGTGTGAGATTGTAGCCTATGAGGCATCCTTTAGCCTGAAGGAAAGATGTTATCCTGTTACAAAACAGGATGTGTATATGATCAAATATAATGTGGTGATATTGAATTTCTTCTCATTCAGTTCCTAAATAAGAGGACCCAAAACATTGCAGTAACACCTTGTTAGGAGCTGTTGGCCATATTTAATTATCTTAAATTATGTAGAATGAATGGACCTTCAGAATAGTTGACTCTGTAAAGAAAAAAAATAAGAAAGCTTAGTATTCAGGTATAGACATCAAGAATTTACCATCTGTTAGAATCCAGCAAAAGTGGCCTAGCATATTTTCCAGGAGAAAATGATAGGACCGGTCTAGGTAGATTAGTGGTGGTTGGGGGTATGTAACAAATAGCACTTGTCACCAGAAAAAGCTGTTTCATTCAGCTTGAGTTTAAGTGGGTGCCATGATTACATCAGCAGTGCACCTGGTCATGGAGCAGCTGTTAAGCATTATACAGAATTTTTTTTTTAATTTTATTTATTCATTTGAGAGAGAGAGAGCACAAACCAGGGGGAGAGGCAGAGGGAGAGGGAGAAGCAGGCTCCCCGCTGAGCTGGGAGCCCAATGTGGGGCTCAATCCCAGGACTTGAGATCATGACCTGAGCCACAGAATTATTTCGAGTAAATCTTTCTGGAATGTGGGATCTTCCTTTTTTGATAGTTTTGGCCTGCAAATTAAAAACAAATGAACAAAAGGTGAGATGCTAATACTTGGAGAACATTTTTAGATTGTAATAAATAGAATATTTCAGACCATGGTCTTGGGAGGCAGACCACCTTGGTTTGAATTATGCTATCCAGCCTTTCCGTCCTTCAGTTTTCTCATCCCTAAAAATAGGGTAATAATGGTATTTCATAAGCTTATAGGGATTACATGAGTTAATATTTGTAAATAGTGTTTGGCATGTGGGTAAGCACTATCTAACAGTTTGTTAAAACTCAGGTTTAGTAGCTGAACTGAGCACTGAATTCTGAAGATGTCTGTCTTCAAAACTTAATAAATATTAAATTAATTCCCTTTTTACTTTTTTTTAATCTTTCTTAATACAGAGTATTTTTTGCATGGCTGTAATTTTTCAGATGATGGCCTTTTAGAACCATGTTTAAAGGAAGAGCATAAGCATACACACTTTTCATTGTGTATTTTTTAAAACCATCCCCAAGCTAACAGGTTGTCCCACATACAGTAGAAGTAACCACTCTTCTACCAGTTCTTCTCCAATCTAGAGCATAGACTGGACTTTAGAGTAGAAAATGACTTCCACAAATTAAAACTTGGAAATATTTTAATGGTGATTAATTCTTAGCAAACTGGGATGGTATTGACTATAATAAATGATGTATACACTTAAATGAAGAGAGGATAGCAGATGGTACGCCTGTGTTAAATGTCCTACATTTAACAGAGTAGCTGCATTGTAGAAAAATTGTTGCATTTCATTTGGATGTTTCCTTTTTACCTCATCATAAGAATTTCCTGAAGATTCTGGAGATTCTGGTTCAGTAATTTGAGTTTAGAGCCTGAGAATATATACCGTCTTTTAAGCTAATTAATAGACCTTATTTTTAAGAACACGTATGTTTAACAGACATCTCCAGTGATTATTAAGGCACAGCTTAACTGAGTTAAGTAATTCATGTGTCTTCTCTGAGCCCCAGCTTTCTCACCAACAGAATCAAAGATTTGACTAGAAAGATGGCCTACTTCCTAACTCACTTTATGATTTTCAGATTCCTATTTTCCTAATGATTATGATATCAAAGAATTCCATTATGTGTGAAGCAATATGGGGTAAGGAACTGAGCCTTCTATTTATCAGAAAAATTAGTTCAGCAGACTTGAGAAAATGTTTACATGAAGAAAAAGCTTTCTACTAAAATAGTAAACTTGAAATAATTAGTAGGAATTTGGTTATTTCTAAAGATTTATCTATTTATTTAGAGAGAGGGGGTGCATGGGGTGAGGGGCAGGGGGAGAGAATCCTCAAGCAGACTCCCTGCTCAGCGTGGAGACTGACACAGGACTCACTCCCATGACCCATGAGATCAAGACCCTGAGTTCACAGCCTGAGCCAAAACTGAGAGTCAGACACTTAACTGACTGAGCCACCCAGACGCCCCTGGTTATTTCTAAACATTGACAATGAAAGAACAATAAAACCCTTACAACTCTGGTACTGTGTATTGCCTTTTGTTGGATATGTGTGTATGTGTGTGTACACACTATTTAAAATATTGCTGTTTTAGAATTAATGGTCCTTAGATTTAGCAAGTTTACTAAAATTTTGAGCAATTAAAACTTCTCATTATAATTTTCATTCTAATCCATGGTAATTCTCTCACTTTTGCTAGTTATCCCATCATCTGAACATAATTGGTCGTTTTTCATGCATCTTTGCTTGATAATACCTTTCCCATTTATCACAGTGTCTAAGAGTCCACTCTGTTCAGCTAGGGAGACATGCCTCACTGCCTGTGAGGATGTAGTTGTTCAGCAACAAGGAATGTCTAACAATCAGCGAATTAGTATTGATTGTTCTATTCTTGACTCAGTGATTTCTTTAGTTGATAGTAAATGGATAATTGTGGTCTATTAGCACACTTATCCATGGATTGTTTTTATCCCCTAAGTCTTCCCAAGCCTATCTCAGGGGAGAATAGCAGGTATTTCTTAGGCTACACAAAGTGATGGCCAATAATTGACATGAATTGACATCGATTTTTGTTTTGTTTTGGGAAGAACGGGGTAGGGGAGAGCCTTCAGGAACAGAAACAAGATGACAGTATGGAGCACCAAAGTCATAATTTCAAGGTTAATTTCTTTTAAGTGAATTTAATTCTTTAAGTTTGGGATGCTCATTAATTAATGAATCTCTGTTGAGCAGGGAATACCTCTAGAACACCTTTAGGGTATACACCTCATTAAAACTGTTTAACATGTGTGCTGTTTTGAATGGTATATATTAACAGATCTAATTGTGGTCTGTGGTGTTTAATCTATTTTAGAAACTGGATGGCTTCTACAGGGAGCCAGGTCTCTGATATAGACAAGATTCTTGGATACTTCAGTGATGGCGCACCCCCCACCAAAAAGCCCAGGTAAACAAGGGAAGGGAATCGAGGAATATTTAATAAATTACCATTTATGGTAGATTACAAAAAATAACAAACTTGCCCTACAGTCCAGTTTTCACAAATTAATATTGACCTTCATATAAAAACTATTTTTATTTTGGATTTAATTTTTATTTAAAAAATGTCATAAATGTACATAATTTATAAGTCAGTTCTTCAAAGCTTATAATGCCTTGTCCCTCTCCAGAGATAATCACTTTCAACTTTTTTAATCTGTTTCTTCTAATACTTGCATCCATATTTTTAAATAATGTGTATATACTGCTATTTTTTAGTTTTTTGGTTTTATCTATTTTCCAATTAAGGAAGATGAGGATTAAGCTTGCCCTCCTGGAGCCTCTCCCCACATGTTGCCCCTACCATATACACACGTCAAACACTCTTTCCCGACATCCCCCTGGTGTTTATATCACAATTCTTGGTTAAGTCAGTTTTTTAATAGTTACATATATGACTGGATGAATAGTATTCATAGCTGAGCCTAACAGTGTTTTGATTATACTTTCTTGTCCATTTTTTCCTCCAAGTTATTAAAGAGTATCCTTTGTTTTTGTTTTTGTTTGTTTTTTGGTTTGCTTTGTTTTCTATGTACCTATCAGCTTATCTTCAAACTCTGTGACAGAAGAATAAATCTCTTAGGTATGCTGACACTCATCAGTAATTTACTCTAGTTTACATTGTTTCATAGATTTTTCCTTCTGGACAGTCCTCTGCTCTGGACCGTTGTTCTCCAGGCCTGCTACATTGCTGATGTTTGCCATTTTCCTTTCCCATGACCCCCAGAATTCCTTTTATATCTCTCCTGTATTGGATCCTCTCTTTCCTAGATATTGTCTTTCCCTTTCATTTCGCTGAAAAATACTCTCATTGTGCTTCCTCAGTAAGGATTCACAGGAGAAGAGTTTTTGGAGATGTTTGAAGATGTCCTTATCATATTTGTCCATTTATTTGATGATTTGGCCTGAGTGTAGAGTTTTAGATAGGAAATCATATTCCTTAGAGTTATGAAATTATTACTCATTCTCTGCTAGCAGCTATGTGTTCCTGCTAAAATAGTGACTCTTTGCTGATTCCCAGTCCTTGTGTTACATGTCCTCTTCTTTTCTCACTGGAAGCTTGTAAGGATAGTTATTTTGTTCTCAGCAACCTGAAATTTCACAGTGATGTACCTTCATATGAGTCTAGATATCAGGTGGCCCTAATGAGTTGGCTACTGATAATTCACTGTGGAAAATTTTTTTTCTTATTTGATAATTGTCTTTATAGTTTTTTCTATATTGTGCCTTTGTAGTAGAACTCTTGGTATTCAGATGTTGGATCTTCTGCAGTAAGACTCTATAGTTTTCTTTTTTCTTTTTCTTTTTTTGAGAGAGAGAGAAAATGTGTGTGTGAGCGTGGGGGTGTGTGAGAATCTTTCTTTTTTTTTTAAGATTTTATTTATCTGACAGAGAGAGGAGAGAGAGAGAGCACAAGCAGGGGGAGAGGCGGGCAGAGGGAGAGGGAGAAACAGGCTCCCTGCTGAGCAGAGAGCCCGACACAGGGCTTGATCCCAGGACCCTGGCATCATGACCTAAGCTGAAGGCAGACCTTAACCGACCGATTCACCCAGGCATCCTGAGAGAGAGAATCTTAAGCAGGCTCCATGCCCAGCACAGAGCCCAGCGAGGGGCTTGACCTCATGACCTAGAGGTCATGACCTGAGCCAAAATCAAGAGTCGGACTCTTAACCGACTGAGCCACCCAGGTGCCCCAATACTCTAGTTCTCTATTGCTTTATCATTATACTTTCTCAGAGATTTTCTTTTTTCTTCCCGTGTTATAAATTTATTCATTATATTTTTAATTTCCAAGAAATCTATTTGTTTGCCCACCCCTTTTTTATAGCATTTTGTTCATTTTTCATAGATGCCTTTTTTTTTTAATCTATATGAGATACCGTTTTCCATTTTTCTTGTCTTTCCCCTATTGTCACTTGTTTCCTCCAGATTCCTTTCTCTCTGCTAGTTTGTTTAGGTGTAACCCTCACATTGGGGGCTCTGTTCAAATGTAAGGTGACCTTTCTTTGCTCATATTTGAGAGGACACTAAAAAGCCAGTTGGAGACTCTGTGTGTGCATTAGGGACTTGGTTGCTGATGGGTTTCGCTGTGGATGTCAAGCATGGGCCAGGTTCTGTAGCTGAGGAATCCCCACCTATCAGAATGTGTGGGTCTTTTTTCTCATGCTGGCCATTTTCCCCCACAGAGGATGACTGGATGGGGAATAGGGTGCAGGTACAAGGTTGACTGCCAATGTCTCCTCTGGGAGAAGGGCACAGGGGAGAGCCTTACATTTCATATACTGACTTTTACTTAATTCCCTTTCCCAAGCTGTGCACAGTGTTCTCAAATACAGAACCCTCTGGTTCAACCTCTCTGGAAAGCAAGCCTCCAGTCGTAGAGTTCTAACTGCTTCTAATATGGCCTTGCAACAAATCCTGTTTTGGCCCCACCTGTCCCTCTACCTTCAGATTTATTTGAACATTCCGAAAGCTTTATAGAGGGAATCATCTCTTACTGTACAACTCCTAAAATTTTGTTGGCCTGTGTTATCTGCTGTCATCTTTTCTTATTTTGATTTTTACGAATTTATACCTTCTAAAAAATTATAATTACTTAGTGGTTTTAGGAAGAATCAGAAATAAACCACAACTGCTAATTTTTTCCTTTTTAACTGGAAATTTTAAGTTAGGCAGATTATACCTTAAACCTATAATGGGTGAGGTAAAAAATTCAAATAATAAAGCACAATCAAGTGAAAAGTAAAAATCCTTATTCTCCCTAATCCCCAGAATTAACCACTATTTACAGTTCTTGTGAATCCTTCTAGAAATTTTCTATGAGTATATGTTTGTGTATGTTTCCATATCTTGATTGCCTTGAACTGATACTCATTTCATCATTTGCTTCTAATATCTATTATCAGTCTTTTCCAGTAGACTAAACTTTTAAGATTAGGGACTTCATTTTACTCATGGAAACATCACTGGTGCCTCCCATAGGGTCTGGTACTTTGTAAGTTTTTCATATTTGTCGAATGACTGAATTCAAGAGTTGGAGATAGGGAAGGCAGTTCTTAAGTTTGTTTCCCCAAAACAGGTTGCCCAAGGCTTAAACTACCATTTCTTACGTTTTGCCAAAATGCAATCCTTTTTCTATTGTTTTGACAAATTGAGAAAGGCAGTTTCTTGGAGAACACCTGCCATTAGCAAAAATTAAAGTGAGTAGACGTATTTCAAACAGATTTTAATATAGTTTCCAGATTGAAGCAGGGGGTGGGGTATGGAGAACCAAAACACAAAACCTGTGTCTGTGCTCGCTCTTCAAGACAGAACTCTGTGCTTGTCTCACAGTAAGAAAGGAGTGTTTTCCACTTCTTGTCTTATCTGTTGAATAGTTGTATCTTTGTTTATTTAGGTAATGTGAAGCTCCTGTGTTTTCAGAATTTTGTTAGCTACTTTTTTTTTCTTTTTGCCTTGCAGAAATCTAGAACAAAATCACAGTGAAATGTTCCCATACTTTACTGTCTCATTCTCAGTTTTAGTCATTAGTCATGCTCAGTTTTATCTTATTTGTGTTTACAGAGTTTGGGCTTAACTTTGGCTTTCTTTCATCTCTTTTTTATATCTCAACAATAGGAATTTAATTTGTATGGATTTCATTTCTCTCGGGAATCCATGTTTTTTGAAATTTAAAATATAATTTAGTTAGCAGAACTCAGCTGGGCTATAATATAATTGGATCTTTTCCTACTATTAGTGGGTTTTCTTAGGTTGAGAGAACTATGAGGGAGAAAATTGATTTTAAGATTGCCTTTTAGGATTCCTGAAATAGGTTTTTCAGCAAGCCCTGGCACAATATTCTGGTCTTTTTGCTTAAGAGACTCAGGAGAGGTATCAGAAACTGGTAGTTGTCGTCTTTGCAACTGTGAAAGTGGTAGCTGAAAACCATGATTTTTAACAGCCTTTCCATGTGCCTCGTATCTGTTGGACATTCCCAATCCTCTTCATTTGGTTGACTTTTCTAGGAAGCTGCTTCCAAGCCTAAAAACTAAGAAGCCTCGGGAACTTGTGCTGGTGATCGGAACAGGCATTAGTGCCGCGGTTGCACCACAGGTTCCAGCCCTGAAGTCCTGGAAGGGCTTAATTCAGGCCTTACTGGATGCCGCCATTGACTTTGATCTTCTAGAAGATGAGGAGAGCAGAAAATTTCAGAAATGTCTCCATGAAGACAAAAACCTTGTCCACGTTGCCCATGACCTTATCCAGAAACTCTCTCCTGTGAGTATCCTAGCAGTATTTCCTGAAACCGTGACACATGTGCTGAATGTAATAAGGATAGTCATTTTGAGCTTATAGATTTGGGGGGGGGAGGGGCAGACCCAGAGAGAGAGAGAGAGAGAGAGTCTTAAGCAGGCTCCATGCCCGCCCAGAGTGGACTACAGTGCAGGGCTCGATCTCACAACCCCAAGATCATGACCCAGGCTAAAATCCAGAGTCTGGAGGCTTAATCAGTTGAGCCACCCAGCTTATAGATTTGCATACCATTTGGCTCTTCCACAAAAGGTCTGTTTATGGACCCTATTCAGGGTAGTTATCTTGAACCGTGTGTGTGTTTGTGTGTGTGTGTGTGTGAGAGAGAGAGAGAGAGAGAGAGTGTGTGAGAGATGGCAATCATGAGGGTTGTTGTTGAAGTCTTTATATATACAGAAATGAGACCACTGTCCCATTATTGCTGTGTTTTGAATTTACTTTGTATTCTCTGCTCATTACTGTGAAAGTGGTATTCCCTGGCATCCATGCCTTTTAGGGAACCCCAGAAAGATTAGAGATAATTCTTATCATTTTTGGGTGAAGCAACACCGTTTTTTTTTAATGTTCCTTTTAAAGGAGCTCACTCAAAATATTTATGAGGAATTTTGTCTTGTTTTATCCAACTGAGTTGGATACCAATTCATGAATGATAAGACCCTCCTTGTCTTACATTGTCTTCAAAATGCCTTCAAAAATCAGAATTCATTTAAGATACATTTAGAAATAATAGAGTAGCCAAATCATGCTCTAAATCTTCATAAATCCTATATTTTTGGGGAAAAAATAGAACTCTTGTTATAAATTATTAGTGTTGATTCCCACCCCCTCCTCCCAGGCCCTCGGGCTTTATAGGACAGAAGTGTCATTAAGAGTTAGCCTAAAAGAGCCATTTAAAAGTAATTTCCTCTTGGTTCATGACTCATTTCAGAAACTTAGTACCTTTTACTTCCTCTTTTCATTTCTTTGTCCGCAGTTGTGATAAATTGTTACTAACCTAGAATAATGTAAATAATTAGTAGGCTTTAAAGAGCTCATGGGACCTCTGTCTCACACCATACACAAAATTAACTCAAAATGGATAAAAAAACCTAAATATAAGAGCTAAAACTATAAAACTAGAAGAAAACAGATTTAAAGCTTCATGCCTTTGGACCTGGCAGCACTTTTTTTTTTTTTTAAGATTTTTATTTATTTGACAGAGCACAAGCGGGCAAGTGGCAGGCAGAGGGAGAGAGAGAAGCAGGCTCTTCGCGGAGCAGGGAGCCCGACACGGGGCTCGATCCTAGGACCCTGGGATCATGACCTGAGCCGAAGGCAGACACTTGACTAACTGAGCCACCCAGGCGCCCCGTGGCAGCACTTTTTGAAACATGACACCAGAAGCACAAGTAACAAAAGAAACGGTAGATACATCGCACCTTACCAAACGTAAAAGCTGTTAGGCTCAAAGAGCACTATCAAGAAAGTAAAAAGACAGCCCCTGTCCCCCGAACAGAAGATATTAGCAATTCATCTATCTCCTAAGGGTGTAGTATCCAGAATATATAAAGAACTATTATAACTTAATAAAAAGGCAAATAAGTCAAGGGATTTGAATAGACATCGTTCCATGTGCCAGTAAGTACATGAAAAGATGCTCCATGTAGTAGTCATTAGAAAAATGCAAATCAGAACCACATGAGGTAAAGTCAGAAAGTCAGATAGTTAAGTGTTGGCGAGGATGTGGAGAAATTGAATCCCTCATACGCTGCTGGGATTGTGAAATGGTACAGACAATGTAGAACACAGTCTGGCAGTTCCTCAAACAATTAAATATAGAGTTACCATCTGACCCAACAGTTTCACTTCTAGATACACCTTAGAGAAATGAAAACATATGCCTGTAGAGAAACTTACACACAAATGGTGATAGCCGTATTCATAATAGACACAAGGTAGAATTACCCAGATGTCCCTTAACTGTCAAATGGATAAACAAAATGTGGCACATTCATACAATGGAATACTACCTGCCAGCAAAAGGGAATTCAGTACTGATAACATGCTGCAGTATGAATGACCCTTAGCATAATGGAAGCCAGCCACAAAAGACCACGTATTAGATGATTCTGTTCATACAGAATGTCAAGAATAGGGAAATCTGTTAGAGACAGAAAGTAGATTAGTAGTTGCTGAGGACTGGAGCACAGATGGAGGGCAGCAGGGTGATATTTAAAGGGTACATGGTTTCTTTTTGATATGATGAAGTGTTTGAAAATTGTGACAGTTGCAGTATCTGTGAATCTATAAATAATCACTGAATTTACACCTAAAATAGATGAATTGTAATGAGAATTGTATCTCAGTAGAGCTGTTAAAAATAAAGGCAAAAGGATGGGAAACATGTATAATCCAAACACTAATCAATAGAAAGTGCGAGTGGCTGTATTAATATCTGATAAAGTACACTTGAGAGCAAAGAGGAAAGAAAATATATTTTTTTAATATCTTTAAAAAACAAAAAACATAAGGGAAAAACATAAGGGAAAAAAAGTATTACGGAGGTGTGTCAGCCAATTAATAAAAATGTTATCTTTCTGGAAAAAAAAAGAGCTCATGAGTACTGTGTTAGACTAGGAAGACTGATCTATGGATAAAGAAGTTCTCTTTCAGACTAGGATGTCCAGTGTTGTCACGTCACTCTCTTGTCGTGGCTGTAAACTTCACTGATTCGTCACAGTGGTTTCCTGAGAACAGAAAGCATGATTTTGCTAGTTGGGTGAATTGTGATTGAAAGTAATGAGAAGTTTTGAAGTCAGTGTCAGTAAGCGTATACCTAACAAATACATCAAACTGGGGTCACTAATTGTCTTCAGATGAAGATTTATTAACCTTAAAATGTAGTTGTGGGTTAGTGTTAGTTGCAGTAGCAGAGCAATTATCAAACTTTTTGGTCTCAAGACGCCTTTATATACTCTTAAAAATTACTGAGAAACTCAAGCAGCTTTTGTTTATGTGGAATATAACTGTCAAGGTTCACCACTAAAAATTGAGAAATGTTTAAAATACTCACTGAAAAGTAACAATAAGCCTATTACATGTAAACGTAAATAACATGTTTGTGGAAAATAATTATATTTTCCAAAAAACAAAAATAAATTAGGAGAATAATATTTCACACTTTTGCAAATCTCTTCTGTTAGAAGGCAACTGCCTTCTCCTTTCTGCTTTATATATACTGTGTGTTGTTTTGGTTTGAGTATATGGAAAAAATCAGGTCTCAGAGATCTGTAGCTGGCAAAGAAAAGTATTTTAATAGTCTTTTTAGGTAATTATAGATATTTGTTGTTGATACTACACTAAAAACTCAGTAGGGGGTGGCTTCCTTCCTAAAGATTAATAGCAATATGGAATCTGAAGTCAAATCCATATCTTAACTTTTCTTGTTCTGTTGCATTAAAATCCATGATCCATCTTGCACTGAGAATGAGTCTTTTACCCATGCATGATTTTGTAACATCATGCGTTGGTCATTTGGAAAATCTTGGTTTGCTGAGTTACATATATCTTCTAGATACTGACACATTTCACTACACAGCTCAAAAAATTGTATTCATTAATAACACCACCAATCTCATCACAAAAGTATTTGGAAGCTGTCAAGCTCATGGTGGCAGATTAAAGATTTCTAAAATTCTGGATAAAGAAGATGTGAGATATATATCTATATAAAATCTATATAATATATATATATAATATTAGCCATCAGAAAGAATGAAATCTTGCCATTTGCAATGACGTGGATGGAACTTGAGGGTATTATGCTAAGTGAAATAAGTCAGACAAATACCATATGATTTCACTCATATGTGGAATTTAAGAAACAAAACATGAACATGGGAAGGGAAGGAAAAATAAGATAAAAACGGAGAGAGACAAACCATAAGAGACATAAGAGACGCCTAACTCTAGGGTTGCTACAGGGGGATGGGGTAACTGGGTGATGGACATCGAGGAGGGCATTTGATGGAATGAGCACTGGGTGTTATATGCAACTGATGAATCACTAAGTTCTACCCCTGAAATTAATAATACACTATATGTTAACTAAATTGAATTTAAATTTTTTTAATTTCTGGTTTTTTTCTTGAAAGCTCAGCTTTTGTCATTGGCAACCAAGGCAGCAGTCCTGAGTTGTTTTCCTCAAAATGGCAGGCTTACTTCATTTATTTTTGCAAAAATGCCTGAGAATGCCCAAATCTGAATGACTAGTTTGTCAGTCATTTGTTCGAGTAAAAATAATGTTTGATGAAAAACTGGATTGTCAAGCTTACAGTTCAATCACACAAGTGTTTTGCCTGGAGACAACCATCATACTTCAGTCTGCAGCAGAAGTGCTTTGTGCATATTTCCTCTTTCTTCACACAGACGTTTACAAGGGCATGTGCTCAAGGGTCAAGATTTAATACAATTAATTTTTACTGCTTCATTAATGACATTCTTAAATGACACTGGAATTTTTTTTCTTACTGTAAGTCTTTGGTCATGAAGAATGCAGTGATTATGGACACAGCTTGGTTCCACTATCTTGATTCACACTAAGTCACTGGCAGTTTTACCCACGATTGCTTTTGCACCATCAGTGCACATACCAGCAAAGTTTTAAAGACAAAAATTACCTTAATGTTATTATGAAAATAATTTTACTTTGCAGACTCCTTAAAGAATGTTAGAGATCCATGGGGTCCACGGGCCATGTTTTAACCCTCTTTAATAGAGGATATGTAGGAAAAAAATACAGGCAAACCAGAGGCTTTAAAAAAAAAAAAAAACACATTCAGGGAAATTTGAACACTTGAGTATTTGATAATAAGGAATTAGTATTTTTTTCTTTTAGGTGTGATAGGTGGTATTACAGTTACGTTTTGTTTTATATGTAAGGGAGGGGTCCTTTTAGGAAACTGTTGAAGTAACTGCCTGAAATATGCTTGGGAATTGCTTCAGAAAAATTCTGTTCCAAGGGGAGAGGTGGGAGGTGTATGGTGGAGGGGAATTGAGGTTAAATAAGATTGGCCATGTATGATAATGGTTGAAATAGGGTGATGGGTATACAGTGGGGTTCATATTCTTTTTATATATGTTTGAAACTGTCCTTTATTTTTATTTTATTTTTTTAAGAATCTAACAGCGGTAATACGGCAGTGTTAATTTAATAGGCCTATCTACTGAGCCAGTTTCTTTTAGTAGCGATACATTATCTTTTAGTAGGGATACATTGTGCATTCAATGCAGAGAACTTGGGTTTCGGAATCAGACTCAGCCGTTTAAATGCTCTAGGACCTCGGGAGAATCACTTAACTTCTCAGGATCTATTTTTGCACCTGTAAAACTGGGCTAATACTACTTAACTTGTGAAGAATAAGTTAGACAATATATATAAAGTGTTTGGCACATCGTAAGTACACTATAAATTGTTAATAACCTTGGTGGGAAAGAGTCCAGATTTTGTTTTTACTGTATCTGGGATCAGAAAGAGAGTTAAGGGTAGGTAGTATTGGATTCAGTTCACTGTTTTAAGTGAATAAGAAAATGTCCATAAAATTGTGTGGGAGTTTGGCATTTCCTTTTGACTGTGGAACCTCCTTGTTTGTTTTCATTCCTTTGTCTTTGCTTAGGCTACTGGTGGGAAATTTAGTTCTAGGGTCACATGCTTCAAGAGAGAGAAATGTTCGTTTTAAGTCTGAGGAAATCACAGCTACAAAAAGCCTCTTTCCTTCCTCTCCGTGTTGATATGCAAGATGTAATAACTTAAATACAATTAAGAGATAGTTAGCTAAAATAAGTGACTTTTAACATTTATTCCCAGGCTTTAACCTTTTGTATTTCTTTCCTTAGAAGCAAGAAAATATTCCACACCCATGATTACCTGATTGTATACTCAGGTATTTTTATGTGTGTGTGTAATGATTAAACTGGTACTGGAATATGGTGTTGTATAACTGTTTATGTATGAATCAGAGTACAAAATGAAGATACAAAACACAACAGGGAAGTTCTTAAAATCACTGTAGTTTTTGTTTAATTTTAAGCTTAGTTTTGCTTTTTTTGAATAGGTATTATTTGTGCACATTGCAGAAATCAAAATGATGTAAAAAGGCGTACATACATTGTGACATCTCATTCCCACCATGGCTTTGTCTACCTCCTCTTCCCAAACTCAGCCCTCCCCCATAGGTGACCACTCTTACTGGCTTTTTGAGTATCCTTTCAGTGTTCCTTTTTTGTAAAACAAGCAAATAGGACTAGATTTGTTCTATTTCACTACCTCTTTAATCCCTCATGTCAAAAGGTAGCATTCTAAATGTAGTGTTCGGCACCTTGTTTGTTTTACTTAACTGTGTATCCTGGAGATTGTTCCATGCTGGCTGCCTTTATATGGGTTCTTGGCCATCTCAGTCTCCTACACACGGGTACGTGGCTTGTTTCCAGTCTTTCACTGCTATAGATAACAGAGCAATGATAGTCTTGTATATGTTGTTTCATCTGTTTGTAGTACATCTGTGGGATATATTCCCGGAAATGGGATTGCAGGACTGTAGGGTAAATGGGTTGTAATTTTAGTAGATATTCAAGGGGCATCATATTTTCGATAATTCATATATGTGGTGAAATTCAGTAAGTATGGTTGTAAATTCTTCACTTTTTCTGATCAGATTGTTCATTCTGATTGAGTGTTCGAGTCACCAGTTGGTTGCCTATGACTGCTAATATGTGATGTAATTATTCATGCCATTATGTAATGAAAATGGACAAGTTGAAAAACATGATCCACATTATTAGCCACGTAAATATGGGCTATTCCATCTGTTTAACACTAGAAGAGAATCTTTGAGCCCACTGACACAGGGTATAAGGAGAATCCTATCTGGTGGTAGATGTTGCATGGAATAGTGATTGACCAGATAAACTTCTGGATGTGTCACCACCAAATAGAGGAACTTTTTCACCTCTGTGCGCTAGTATTCCAGTGTTTAAGTATTTACCATTTCTTTGGTAGGTATAATTTAAAGATTGGATAATTTTATAAAATACTTTGAAAAATTAGGAAAAGAATTTGGCAGATGGAAGTGTATTTTATGAATCTGCTTACATGGTTCCATGGAATCAGATCTTCCTCTGAGCATTGCACTATTCGAAGGATACACAAAGGAAACCAGGAAGGTAGGGGGACTACTTTGAGGGAAAACAGAAGGAGCTCAATATCTATGTGTCTAGCAGCTAAGTACGATTACTTGGAGTTCGGGAAATACTGGGGCCTTTATGAACTGATTCTTGCTCTGATACTATCTAATGGCCTGGTGTTTGCAGGAACAAGATAGGGATCAGACATCTGTTATAGCACATTGCATAGTTATGTTCCCATTTGAAATTCCTGTGTCCCTGGGGCCACTTTGTCTTTTGAGTTATAAAGCCACCTTCCTACCTGAGGTTTGTATTCTATTTTGTCATTAGTCATCGAGATATTTACATACTCTCAGAATGAAACTGGGAAAGCTCTTATTCAGATAAACCATATGTAAAGAAGGGCGAGGGGCACCACCTGGGTCACTCAGTCAATTAAGTGTTTGCCTTCAGCACGGATCATGATCTCGGGGTCCTGCGATCGAGCCCCATGTCAGGCTCTCTGCTCGGGTGGAGTCTGCTTCTCCCTCCTGCTCTGACCCTCCCTTCTGCTCATGCTCTCTCTCTCTCAAATGAATAAATTAAAAAAAAATCTTTAAAAAATATTAAAAATCAAAGAAGGAGGAAGTGTGTTTAGGACTGATTAGTGTTTGGTTTTTGTTTTTTTTTTTAAGATTTTATTTATTTATTTGACAGAGAGGGATACAGCGAGAGATGGAACACAAGCAGGGGCAGTGGGAGAGGGAGAAGCAGGCTTCCCATGGAGCAGGGAGCCCAATGTGGGGCTGGAGCCCGATGTGGGGCTTGACCCCAGGACCCTGGGATCATGACCTGAGCTGAAGGCAGGCGCTTAACGACTGAGCCATCCAGGCACCCCAGTGTTTGGTATTTTTAAAAAACAATTGCAAAATGCAAATTTTTGATAACCTTTGTTATATACTAAGTATTTTTCCTACCACACCTGTAAACAAATTCCTGAATTATGCTAGGGGAAAAAACGTGCAGGGAGAAGGTAAGCCATTTTTCCTAAATCTATAAACATTTGTAAAAAGCACCCAGGATTAGAAAAAGAGACACTAAACCACATTTTAGAGATAGCTGTCTTTTATTGGTTATTCTCCTCCAGGTGAGGAAAGTTTAATAGAAAATATTGTCTTCTTACCTGAGACCTAATTAGAGAAGGTAGTAGGTGCTGTGCATTTCCACCCCCTTTGTTTAGTCCTGGTAGTAATTCATATTTCTCGACCATGCCCATTTTCTTCAATCTATAAAAATGCTTATTTAGAGAATTTATGCTTATTTGCATATAATAGTACAGATCACTTACTATGTGCTAGGCATTGTGCTTCAGCACATGGCATGTTTCCTGTTTTTCTTACTATAACTCTCTGAGGTAGACAATATTTTATCCTTATTTTAAGTACACAGTGTCCTTCAAAAATTTGCTGTATTACTGTAATTAAAACAAATGACCTACCCAAACATGTGGAATTAATTTTTCTCTTTCCAATCCCTCCCCAGCGAACTAGTAATGTTCGATCCACATTTTTCAAGGACTGTTTATATGAAGTATTTGATGATTTGGAGTCAAAGATGGAAGATTCTGGAAAACAGCTCCTTCAGTCAGTTCTCCATCTGATGGAAAATGGAGCCCTGGTATTAACTACAAATTTTGATAATCTGCTGGAACTGTATGCAGCAGATCAGGGAAAACAACTCGAATCCCTTGACCTTACTGATGAGAAAAAGGTAAAAAGTAAAGGATTAGTTTCTTCTTCAGGCTTGTGGGTTGTATCTTCATCAGAAATGCTGTTTTCTTGTTGGTATATTATACACTGTTGGTATTTATGTTGAGGTAGAAAAGAAGATTCTTGTCCCTAGTTGGATTTTTATTTTTTGGTTTTTGAGATAAAATAAAATGCACAGCTCTTAAAAGTGTTCAGTTCTGTGATTTTTGACAATTTCACCCAATTTCAAAGCAAGGTTATAGAAAGTCATTTGAGCTGTAAGATCTTCTTAACATTTGCTAATACCAGATGAGCATAATACTGATTTAGAGTTCTTTCTTGGGATATATTGTTCATGGTCTCTATTAGAAATGTGTGAAAACTACTGTATGATATATGAGAGCAACTTTCAAGCCAAGTGATAGCTGGGTTGAAGTTAATGTTCAGTGGAAACCTCAGGAGAGTTTTGTTTTTTTTTTTAAATACAGCCCATGTTATACCTAAGCCATTTACCATAATACTGAATTAGAGATGTTGATCTATGTCAGCAAGATAAGGCTTTTTATTAGACTGGTCACTTGCATTTGTAATTTGAACTTTAGCACCAATAGGAGGTTGGTGTCAGAGACAATGATTGAAGAAGAAGAAAAAAAAACAGGTTGTAAAATGCCACCAAGTCTCATTTGTCCTGCTTTGTATTTTTGCAATTTTCCTTCTCCACTTTGTTTTTCCGAGGAACCTGCCTTTGTGTCCAGCCTAGAGCCCAGATAAATAGAATTCGGATAGAAAACTGACTCACTCACTGGTGTTTAGTGTCACAGTACCGCTCTTGTGATTTTGCTGAGCTTGCAGTCAGGTTTTAAACAGAAATCAAATACAAAGAAATGGTGCCGTGAAGACCGGTTGGCTCTGGCTGGCATGTTTTCCACCCGCTACCCCCCATGCTTGGTATGGTAAGCTCCTTCTTTGCCTGTAAGTCTCAACTTAAGTATGACCTCTGAGAGGACCTCTCTGACCTGCCCTTCTGTGTTTTGAAGGGGCTGGTCCTTATTTTTTTGCCCATGTCTTTCATGGCACTCACTGTAACTCAGTTTTTATCTTGGTTTGTTTTCTTGCTGTTTATCCCGTGGAAACAGCAACTCCATCTGCAGATGCCATGTCAGCCCTTCTTAGCCTGATGTCTACGATGGTACTTGGCACATAGCAGGTGCTCAGGAAATACTTGTTTTGAATTCATAGATGATTGAATGAAATTCAAAAATTAATGGCAAGAAGCAGCTTGTGTGATGTTTCTGATATAATCTCCTAAGATTATGACCAGCAAAAGAAGCATAAGGGCCTTTTGAAAGTTAAGGGTTTCTCTCAGACTTGCTTTTTCTCTCGCATTTTCATCCTGGAACTTCAAGATTCGCTTTGCAGTTTTAGTCCTCAAGAGGGCGGTATGGAAATCTAGTGCTTAAAGCCATTGACTGGTGGTCAGAATGCGGCCTAGTGATACTCATGTTCAGCCTCTCTCTGCCTCTTCACTATTTTCCCTAACCCACACCTTATTTCTCTAGAATGTTATGAGAATGAAATTATGCTTTCTCAAGTCCTTGAGAAAAGTGAAGAGTGGCATCCGGGTAGCTGTCGTTATCATTGTCATCTAAGTAATTGTTCTTCATTGGTAGCCTTTTAGGTAGCTCAGGGGACTGAAGTGATTCTTCTGCTGCTTATCCACTGCACAAAAAACCGCCCTGAAGCTTTGGGGCTTCAAACATTTTATTTGCACATGATAATGTGAGTGAGCGATTTGGGCTGGGCTTAGAAACGGGGCAGTTCTTCTGCTGGTTTTGCTGGTTACCCACATGGCTGCAGTCATCTGGGGGCTCGACCGAGACGGGGTGCTGTCAGATGGCCCTGCTTCCGTGTCTGTTGGTACGGGCAGTTGGCTGGGCCACACATCTCTAGCAGGCTAGCCAAGGCTTCTTACATGGTGCCGGCTTCCAGACGCAGTGAAAGAGAAATGAGACTCATGCCAACATTTTTCAAGCTGGTGCTTGCATCGTGTTTGCTAATGCCCTCTTGACTGAAGCAAGCCAATGGCCAAGCCTGGAATAAGTGTGAAGAGGGACTACACAGGGCCTGGAGACAAGGAGGCGTGATACTTTGGAGATCATTACTGAAACAGTCATCCATAGCTGTCATGTGTATCATCATTGGTAAGAGCTCTAGCATTTCTGCAAGTGATGACACACAACTTCTAGTTTTTGATGCTTACTTTCGAAGAGAAATCACCAGGCATGCTGCCATCAGTCCTAACAGCCATGCCTGGAATGGAAACTGAGCCCACACTAGGTTACATTCTAGCCCTACGATATCATAAAGAGTTATGCCAGCAGCCTAGTCCGTCAAAACAGCCTCATGCCCATTGGGACCTTTAAGCAAATGCTCAGCCCTGCCAGCTTGGTTGAGCTGTATTTGTGTTATACAGGTTCTAGAGTGGGCTCAGGAGAAGCGGAAGCTGAGCGTCTTACACATCCATGGGGTCTACACCAATCCTAGTGGCATTGTCCTCCATCCAGCTGGGTATCAGAATGTGCTCAGGAACACTGAAGTTATGGTGAGTGGTGCTGATCTTACTGGTCTCAAGAAAGCCTTCCTGGGAAACCTCTAAATATACAGTCAGTCTTCACAGGGTAACATTTTCCCCAGGAGTTCAAATTGGAAGTTGAAACATTCTTTCTGTGCTTCTTAGCTTGTGGTTGTGCATGCTAGCTTAGGGAATGTAAAACGTCTCTAGGTATCAAGCCAGAGGTTTTTACTTTGTTCTTGATTGACAGCCAGCAGATGGCACACTCTGTTATCGGCATCATCCCTGCATACAAAGATTACATTATTATCCTTCTTCATCGTTTGGTTTATTATAGTATTAAACCCTCTCTATGCCAGTAATAATACATGCACCTTTTTACCGACTAGTCACTCCTAGAACATACATTCTAAAGAGACTTTGTGAATGGTGATGGGCTTATATTGAATTATCACACTTACTGCTCAGTGCAAGGAATTTTAAAAATTTTAGGTAGGATGATAAAAAGCTTTGTGAGAAAGCTTGTTGATTTTTTGAGATACAAGTTTTAGACTTGTTCATACATATGTGTAAAGCACTCTCTGGCACCAGAAGTACTCTCTGGCCAGGGATATGTGGGGGAAATTCACCAGCCCCCAACTCTGAGAACAGTGTATACTGGCTGTTTTCAGGACTAGGTCACTTAGAATGATAGTATCTTTATATGACACAGCAAAAGAAAGACCAGGAAAAATGTGATACTTTCTAAAGCATAAGGGACTTTTTTTCACCTATACTTTCCCTGACATGTGTTTTAATTGCATCCATCTTTGACGTTGAGTGATCCCTTAAGCAGAATCATTTCCAGTGTTTGTATATGTACCTATCTGTATATACATATAGGTATAATGTACATATACACATTGATATAGTAAGTGTCATAGACTTTTTTTTTTTAAGAAATCTGGTGATGGAACTATCTTATGTGGTGATCTGTGGTTCAGTTTGTAAAGAAAAATATGATCTAGAAAATGGAAAGAGTAAGATATATTGAAAACTTCTCAATGCCTTATGGCCTCTGGACACACAGATCCGACAAACTGTATAGCAAGTAGACCACTGCCTACCCAGTGAAAGCCTGAATAAAGAGCAGTAGAATGCCAGGTAAAGATAAAATTTTAGACCAGTCATCAAGTTGTAGGCATAAACAATAAGATCAGACTCCTTCGTGGAATGAATATACCCTCTTAAATTTTGGTTAATTGGTCATCACAGTCTGCTAAATGTTGTACTATGACCCTGTTGACTTTTTTGTTTTGGACAGGCCTTATGTATATCTTCACAGTGTCATTAATGTGTTGTTTCTTTTCCTGCAAGAGAGAGATTCAGAAACTCTATGAAAACAAGTCATTTCTTTTCCTGGGATGTGGCTGGACTGTGGATGACACCACTTTCCAAGCCCTTTTTCTGGAGGCTGTGAAGCATAAATCTGACTTAGAACATTTCATGCTGGTTCGGAGAGGAGATGTGGATGAATTCAAGAAGCTTCGAGAAAACATGCTGGACAAAGGAATTAAGGTCATCTCCTATGGAAATGAATATGCTGATCTCCCAGAATATTTCAAGCGACTGACATGTGAGATCTCCACGAGGGGTAGATCAGGTAAGATGCATTTTGAGACTAAGAGCAATAGCTCTTCGACCTTTTGTGTATTTGTGATGAGTAAAGTCATTACCAACATGAGGAATATAATCCCAACCATATTATGAAGGGAGATCATGGTCAATCTTCAGGTTAGACTAAAATGCCATTTGGATAGTAGGAAAATAGACAAAGGCATATTCCAGCAGTTCATTGTAGAAGTAGGAAGAATGAAAAAGTATTCAGCCTCACTAGTTATCAGTGAAATGCAATTAAAATATAGATTTCAAAATTGAAAAGAATGATAGATTGCTCAGTTTTGGCTAAAGCTGTGAGGAAAAAAATATATTCATGTAATGATGGTGGGAAGGTAAAGTTAGTACAGCTCTTCTGAAGGGGAAGTTTGGAATATGTTCAAAATTTAAAAACCTTTGATCCAGAAATCCCACTTGATACAATAGTTATCTTAGAAATTTCTCCTAAGGAGTTAATTGGACAGTTGCACAATTATACTACACAATTGCATAGAGATACAGGTATGAGAATATAGTCATTTTTGTTTATAATGGCAAAAAAGTTGGAAGCAACCTAAAATATTCCAGTTAATAGGAGATTTTATAAATACATCGGCATTTATGTAATTGATGAAACACAATGAAGCCATAAGAGGGAAAATTTTGTTGCCCGAAAAGAAATCAGACATAATATGTGAGTAAAGAACACCAGGTTGTAAAACGCCACCACGGTCCATCCCATTCATACAGAATTGTAGATGTATTCTATTTTTGTTTCTGTATGCATGGAAATATCTGGAATGATGTTTACTGAATTAACTGTGGTTATCTTTCTGTGGTAGGATGTAAGGTGTTTTTTGTTTTTTTTTTTAGTATTTTGTTTCTGTGCTAGCATTTTTGACAGTAATTATGCATTATCTTTACAAGTAGGACAAAATTTTTAAAAGTACTATTTGAAAACCGTTATGGTGGTCTTAAAGATAGAGGCTGGAGGGGCGCCTGGGTGGCTCAGTTGTTAAGTGTCTGCCTTCGGCTCAGGTCATGATCCCAGGGTCCTGGGATTGAGCCCCACATCGGGCTCGCTGCTCCGCCGGGAGCCTGCTTCTCCCTCTCCCACTCCCCCTGCTTGTGTTCCCTCTCTCGCTGTCTCTCTCTTTGTCAAATAAATAAAGAAAATCTTAAAAAAAAAAAAAAAGGCTAGAGGTACCACTTATTTGTCATTTTACCTCCAGGTTCTAACAAAGCCAAATGGGTATAGAAGTTCAGTTTATTAATGGCTCCAGGCAAGTTCCCAATAACCCTAGAAAATGCAGAACTTGTTGGTATCAGCTAAATTGAAGAATGCTTTTTAAAACTTTGCTGTTGTATGTTGTGTATATTCTTGAAAAGTTGTATGTTAATATGTATTTGTATTGTCAATCTGAATGCATCTTAGGGGGCCTAATAAAGTACAATAATTTAATATAGAGAGAACTTTTCCTAAACCTAGTATTATTCCTTGATTTATTTTCTGAATCAGATTGCTTTAAGTGGAATTCTCCTGTAGTGAGAAATTCCACAAGCTCTTATTTTCAGTGGCTATCCATCAAAATGGAACCAGATTTGTAAAAGGTATCACCACAAATGAACACTAAAAACTATGTCAACCCTTTCTCCAGAAGACTTTAGAAAACCCCCTTTGTAAATGTTTTTTATTTTAATTCCAGTTAGTTAGCATACAATGTTAAGTTAGTTTCAGATGTACAATATAGCAGTTCAACACTTCCGTACATCACCCGGTGCTCGTCACATGTGCCCTCCTTCATCCCCATCACCTGTTTCACCCGTCCCCTTACCCACCTCCCATCTGGTCACCATCAGGTGGTTCTCTACAGTTAAGATCTCTTTCTTGATTTGTGTCTCTCTTTTCCCCCCTGTTTTGTTTCTTAAATTCCACATATGAGTGAGATCATATGGTGTTTGTCCTTCTCTGACTTACCTTGCTTAGCATAATACTCTCTAGCTCTATCCATGTCATTGCAAATGGCAAGATTTCAGTCTTTTTTATGGCTGAATAATACTCGTGTGTGTGTGTGTGTGTGTGTGTGTGTGTGTGTGTGTGTGTGTGTACCACTTCTTTATCCATTCATCAGTAGATGGATACTTGGGCTGCTTCCATATCTTGGCTATCGTAAATAATGCTGCTATAAGTATAGGGGTCCATATTCCCTGTGAATTAGTGTTTTTGTATTCTTTGGGTAAATACCCAGGAATCTGATTGCTGGATCATAAGGTAGTTCTGTTTCTAACTTTTTGAGGAATCGCCATACTATTTTCCACAGTGGCTGCACCAATTTGCATTCCCACCAACAGTGCATGAGGGTTCCTTTTTCTCCACATCCTCATCACCAACTCTTGTTTCTTATGTTGTTGATTTTAACCATTCAGACAGGTGTGAGGTGATATTGTAGTTTTGATTTGCATTTCCCTGATGGCACGTGATAATGAACATCTTTTCATGTATCTGTTGACCATCTGTCGTCTTTGGAGAAATGTCTGTTCATGTCTTCTGTCCATTTTTTTAATTGGATTTTTTGTTTTTGCGGTATTGAGTTTTCTAAGTTCTTTATATATTTTGGATACTAACCCTTTATCAGATACATCATTTACAAATATCTTCTCACATTCAGTAGGTTGCCTTTCAGTTTTGCTGATTGTTTCTTTCACTGTGCAGAAGCTTTTTTTTTTTTAAGATTTTTATTTATTTATTTGACAGCACAAACAGGAGGAGTGGCAGGCAGAGGGAGCTGCAGGCAGAGGGAAAAGCAGACTCCCTGCTCAGCAGGGAGCCCAGTGAGGGGCTCAATCCCAGGACCCTTGGATCATGACCTGAGCTGAAGGCAGATGCTTCACTGACTGAGCCACCCAGGCGCCCCATACAGAAGCCTTTTATTTTGATGTAGTCACAGTATCTTATTTTTGCTTTTGTTTCCCTTGCCTCAGGAGACATATCTAGAAAAAAGTTGTTACGGCCAATGTCAAAGAGGTTAGGTGTTCTTTTCTAGGATTTTTATGGTTTTTAGAAAACACTTTCAAAAGACAAACCTTTTTGTCTCTTTTGTGAAAACAATTTGCTCTTCTTTCTTGGGGATGCATTTCCTGCTGGCCTGCTGTGTTTCAGATTCTTCTGCTGCTGGCCCACACCTAAGATTCTCAGAAGGCTTTTCCAATGTGCATATTCTGTTGTCATTAAACAAGAGGTACCTACCAAGCTCTGCATATTTCTTTTGATCTGCATTCTGAGATCTTCTACCCAGAAAAGATGCTAATATTAAAAACAATAACAAAATCCCCTTGGACAGCTGTTCCTGTTAAACGAAATCTTTTCTTGACAAAAATCATCAGAAGTATTATAGAATGGCACAGATTCTTTTATTAGCTGCATGGGCTTCTTCCCAAAGCGGTTTTTCCCAGAGTTATCTATCTTTCAGTTGGGTATTCTGAACTTTTGAAAGTGAAGGATTTTCAGTATGGCCAGGGGGCTTTATTAGAGTGGTCAGCTGAGTTTGTGATTTGAAATCTAGCAGAGCAGTTTTAGGTTAAAAACATTTCAAAACAAGTCAAGCTTATCCTCCATCCTTGGTTATGATTTGAGTCTCTGTAGATACATACTAGTTAAAGTTAGATGTAAGCGGTCTTTTGCTGTTTTTTAACCCTGAACATTTGCTAGGCTCCTGGCATACTTGCTTTTGCATAGAGAAAGTTGCTTGGATTCAAAAGATTCTGTAGGTTCTAGTATATATATTTCAGAAAAATCAAGTAATGGGGAAAGGAAAAATAATTTTTAGAATTCATTATTGTAATACAAGCAATTATTTTAGTATATTTCCAATTAACAATTTTTCCTATGCATTTTTTCATAGTTGTGAACAAAGTATACATAGTCATGTTACTTTTTTTATTCAGTGGTACATCTCATTTATTTTCCCACATGCCTGGTCTTCATAACTACTAGTTTTAATGACTGTGTAATAATCCAGTGTGGATGTTAGTTTACCCAATTTTTCCTGTTAGGCAATGTCTAATTTTTTTCTTGTTTTTTCTGTTGTAAGTACTGTTGGCAATGAATTTTATCTTCATCCTGACCGTTTTTCCTTTTGCCAGTAATTTCCTTCATGGGTTCTCAGTATAATTACTAGGTCAAAGGGCATGAATATTTTAGTGGTTGATAACTGTTGCTAAAGTTCTTTCCAAGAGGGGGAATACCAGTACCTATTTGTATGAGTGCAGTGCTGTCTTTATTTATACTCTAATTGCTCATATTTCTGATGACTGTTTTCATCCATGTGTTCAGTTTTAAACTTTTTCCCATGCCATTATCTCAGGCCTGTCCAATAGAATTTTCTGCAATGATAGAAATATTATCTTCCCTGTCCAGTACCATAACCAAATGCCACATGTGGCTCTTGGGCATTTGAAATGTGGTTAGTGTGACTGAGGAACAGATTTTTAATGTGAAACTATTTAGCCACATGTGGCTAATGACACCATATTGGGCAGCACAGATTGAACTCATTTTGTGTTGTAAGAGCATCTGCTACTTTTCACTCTTCTCCTTGGTTGAATTTGCTCACTTGCACGCTGCTCCCCCTCTCCATCCCTGGATTTTTACCAAAATTTGGCCTTTTAGATGAGTTAGGGACAGCAGGCACACTTTGCCCACTTAATGTTTTATTTACAAACAGTGTTAGTGCACTCAGGGACCTTACCGCTTCCGTTATCTGAAGACTAACCCAGTTCATTCTCCCCACCTCCTTATCTTCTCTGTGATGTCTTCTTTACTAAATAATGCCGTCCTTCTTAGACCATGTTATTTCATTACCCTTTGGTTGGTTGGTTTTCTTTCTACTATTAAGAGTTTTGGCTTTCCGGTCTAATATCTGATACTAACGTGCATTGTTTTGCAGGGATGGTGAGAGAAGGTCAGCTAAATGGCTCTTCGGCGGCACACAGTGAAATAAGAGGTATACTATTTCCTATTCTGTTTGTCAGGTTTGCTGGCTGAAAATGTTTTTCTGGAATTTATTAGTACCTCGGAGAACAAGGACTCCTACTTGCTAAGGATTCTGTATTTTCCTATCGAGTCTGTCAACAAGATTCCTAGTATCTGGTGATGTCGTACCTCCTGAAGGGTTAAGTTTGACTTAAATTCTGCAGCTTCAGACGTACACGTTTCTGTGAGACTTCATTTTATTCTCTTTTCTTTTTCTCCACAGACTGTAGAACATGAGAGGGGGCTGGAGAGATCATCAGCATTAGACCAAGGTGTCAGGCCCGACTGTGGAGAGTATTTAACAAGTAAACTTATAAGAACCCAACACTGCTCCGTGGAAGTACCAAAACCGAGAGGTTGAAGGTTGGGGGTAGAGTTGGGAGTACGGGGGGGTGTTCCAGCTCAGTCCTTCATGCCCACTGGTTCTTGATCTTCTGCGGCCTCTTCCAGTTCACGAATCCCCAAGTGACAACGGGGCCCAGTGCTGCCCCCACCCCTGTGCTGGACACGCCTGTGTCCACACAACAGATCAGTGCGACACCTCCACTGACTGTGGCCCCAGCCCTGCATGAAGGACTTGGGAGCTAGACGCCGTGGGGTCACTGGGGCCCTTGTTGCAGTTTTGTACTTACTCTATACCTGGTTTTTCAATTAAGCTTAATGGCTTTTTTAAAACATGACTTGAAGCTCTAGTTTTCTAGACCTTTTACAGTGTACAGTATTTTACATAACTCAGCTGTATTAAAAGCTTGTTCATTTACTTCCCAGGGCCCTGGCTCTACTTTTAGAGTCCCTTTAAAAAACCTGCAAAGGCACTAAATGAGTCTAGTTTTTCTAACTTAAAAGTTGTGTTCTTTCACACCGAAGTGGGTGATCTCATTCTCTGGACAACCATTCATTATCAATTCCTGCTTTGTTTCCCTTCTTACCATAAGGCCTAGAACCATAGTTAGTGTGATGTGGGATCTTAGTTTTGAATCCTACATAAAATAACTCCGAGACATAAAAGGGAATTTACTTATGAAATTTATTTTCTTTTATAAATTATGTATTTCTCTGGGCAGACAGCCTTCACCTTATTGCACTAATAGCACATCTGTAATACCAAGCTACAGGACAAGTCTTAACAAGAGGTTTGTATTCTTCAACGTAGCACTTGTCTACCAGGCACTGTAGAGAGGAGGATGAGGAAAAGCCAGGATCCGCTCAAGTGAAGAGTGGGGTTGGGGAGAGGGGCAACTTGTATACCCTTCTGACGGTTGGTTCTCTCCCAGGGAGGGGGAACATGCAAAGCTTACATCTGGATTCTGGGTGCAGGGAAGAGCTGGAAGGCTGAGAAGCCTAGTGCAACACTGCAGCTCAGCTCCCTTTATTTTTGAGGGAAGCAGGAACTCCTTTCGTTCATTTGTAACAAATCACCGTGGCCTAGCTGATGCTTTGAGGAAACAGTGGGGATGGGGTCATCATCAGAATTAGCAGCAATTAAGAACAGGCCATACACTGCCACAGTGTCGGGGGTATCCTCCTGGCCCCAGGAACCTGAAAGCTATGTATCCAAGGGAGAAGCCAGAGCTGGCTCTGGAAGTCTCTCGACTGCTCATTGTGCTCACACATCCCTGTGATCATGTGAATTAGCAAAGCTCCGGTGTGGGATCTTCCAACCGTTGGGTCAAAGCTGTAATGAGACTGAGCGTGTAGGCAGAGTGAAGGGAATGCCTGAGGAGGAGGGGAGGATTGTCAGGGAGGGCGGTGATGGGCAGTGGATTGGCAGTAACATGATTAGGCCCTCCTTGCAGGTGGAGGCTGGGCTGCCAGGGAGTGCGGCAGGGGGAGCTGCAAGCCCCTAGACCTCTCCTCATTCTGCCTCTGTACTACACTGAAGAGAAGTTGCTCACATACTCTAAAGCACATTCTTGATACAGGAAGAGGGGCTTTGGGGGGAAGCAATGATTTGGTTTGGGGCAAGAGCCACGTTAAGCCTTCATGAGGGCAGCCACCACAGCCTTGGCATTGAGACTGCGTAGGTCACAGTAGGTCTGGCCAGTGCCCACAAAGACGATGGGTTTGCTTGTGATGTAGGTCATAGAAATAGCAGCTCCCACCTGAAATGGAGAAAGGGGATACACAGTCACCTCAAGGCCACTTCTTTGTATCTCCTCAGGAACAGGAAGCTCTGGAGGCAACAACATATCCTTAGAGCATCAGCTCGCCCATGAGGGATGCCCCTTGCTCTGTCCTGTACCATCCGTATTTACCTTGTCATCGATGGTATCAAATTTGGTGAGGACAATGCCATCAATGAGCCGAGGTGTTTGAGCCATGGAATGGTCGGCCAAGGCTCTGTTGAACTTGACCTGTAAGGGAGAAACATGGTGTAAGTACAAGAAGTACCCAGCTGGCCAAAGCTGAGGCTGGAAAAAGAACGAGGCCCTAGTCCTCACCAGCTGGTCCACGGCCTCATTGCCTACTAAGGCCTCCCCCACAAACAGCACCAAGTCGGGTGTGTTGACAGTAATGAGCTTAGCCAGGGCGGTCATCAGAGGGGCATTGTCTTGCATGCGGCCAGCTGTGTCCACCAGCACCACATCAAAGCCCTGGTTACGTGCTAGAGAGAAAAAAAGTGGTCAACTCAAAACTTTCTAGACTGTCCTGCTCGCCCCACCTTTCTCTCAAGAAGCGGTAACCTCGCTATATTAAAAGCCTGGGTGTTTACTTTCTTGAGCTCTGGATCTGGTTATAAGGTAGTGTGAGCAAAAACCTACCCTGTGCTTGGCCATCAGGAACATTCAAGAAAATACGGCAACAGGACAAAAGAGAGCAAACAGAGGTTTCCATGGGTGGAATATATTAGTCTTGCCCGCAGTTAGCTTCTCCTCCTGGCAAGTTCTCCGTGCTGACTTGCTATTGAGCAGTAAGTTGGTAGGAGGGGAACCCTGACCCACTTTGAATCACAAGGAAAGCCCAGGAGGAAAGGGGCCCACAGCAGCCCCCCGCCTTCCTGTACGCCATACCAAAGGCAATCGCTTCCATGGCAATGCCCGCAGCATCCTTGCCGTAGCCCTTTTCAAACAACTGCACCATAGTGCGGCCGCCATGGTTCTCCGGGGGATGTAGGGCACTCAGGCGCCGGGTGTGTGTGCGTAGCTGCTCCACAGCCCCGGCACGAAATGTGTCGCAGGCAGCAATGAGGACACTGAAGCCATTCTCTAACAGCCAGAAGGAAATCTGTGCAAAAGCAGCAAACAAATCAGTCCCTTAGAACCAGAGTCCTTGAGACATGGAGAGTGAAGATAAAGGGCGTCAGAGAGTGGTGGGGAGCTGTACCGACCTTGGCAAGATTAGTAGACTTCCCCACTCCATTAACACCACAGAAGGTGACCACGTAAGGGCGCTGATGACGCTGGGCATCCATAATATCCCGGAGCATGTCTACACGACGCTGTGGCTGCAGAATCTGCACCAGGGACTCTTGGAGGGCTTGCTTTACTGTGGAAGTCACCGCTAAAAGGGGGTGGTGGATCTGTGAAACCCAAGAAATGCACGCCCAGGAACACCCAACGCCTAAGGGAACTGGGATCTGGAGGATCCAAGGATCTTGTCCCAGGAATCCACACGTGACAGTGTTCCAAGCACTTTACAAGTGTTAACTCATTTAGTTCTGAGAACTCTTAAGTTACGCAGCAGACGTTTAGAGGTGAAGGAGTTTGCCAAAAGCCACACACCTAGTAGGAATGGAGATCAATGTGCTTAACTTCCTGGTGCACATCATGCCTTGAGCACTTTCTGGTTTAGGGACATACTTACTGCTGAATGTCCCCATCACCTTCCCTTCCAGCTTGTTGGCCACAGATTCACAAAGCTGGACTGCAATGTCTGCTGCCACATTCTTAGCTGGAGAGACAGGGAAAGGTGTGTGAGTGCCATGTCAACAGTAAACAACCCTATGGTACAGATGAGAACTCAAGGTGGTTCTCTCCACCACCCCTATCCCATAAACGTGAGTGCCCCTATTCCTCAGAACTTACCAATGAGATGATCACGCATCTTATCTAGCACAGACTCCATGTCTTCCCGACTCAAGCTCTTGGACCCCACAAGGCCCTTCAGCATCCCAAACATGCCACCCAGAGTTCCCTTGGTAGCACTGCAGGCACAGGAGATCATAGATACATATAAAGCCAGTGGGCAAGAGTCCAAAGTCTCATCTGTTCTGGAGCCACCCATACCACCCAACACCTGAAATTCCCCTACCTAGGTTTGGTGTTTTGAGCAGCCACTTCATCATCTGAGCTGCTGCAGTCCAGATCCTGAAGCTGCCCTCCAGGCCCAGTCCCTCGAATCTGGAGGGTATACGGAAAGAAACAAGATGGGATCAGAACGCTGAGGGCTGAGGGTAAAGAAGCCCAGGATTTACCCTGTCCTCATTCCTCCATCTCTGATTTGGAAAACTCCAAACGTGACCCACCCCTTCATTTATAGAAACCAAAGGTACTGCCCTGCTATCTCTACCTCCTCTCCAATGTCTTAATGGTAACTCACTGGCCCGTTGCCTCTTACCAAGCTGATGTCCTCAGGTGGAGCAACCTCAGGGGCTCCATTGGTGGTGGGAGTGCTATAATCCAAGACTTCCTTGTTAGCACAGCCACCCAGTGCCCACACACGGGGTGCTTTTTTGCCCTTCTCCTTTGGAGTATCTGATTTCATGGACTTGCTGCAAAGGGTTACAGCACAAATGGTTGCAGTGAAGCAGGAGAGGAAACATCCACCCAAGAGCCAGAGATGAGCTCCCTTGCCCCCGACATAGCTAGATAACGGTATTTATGGTGAAAGTTAGAATGCCCTCACCTGGACTTCTCCAGACCTCTCCCATGCTTCTGAATGAACTCCTCTCTCTTCCTGCGTATTAGCTCCTCTTTGGAAAGTTCTACCCCATTCTCAGGCCCCACTGGGAGACCTGACTTTTCAGCAGGAACTGCTTTGCTGGTAGCCAAAAGGCCATCAGAACCTGTTAAAAGAAAAGTCACTGGAGAAAAACGACCAAATTCCAACAATGGGAAATAGTCTTCCAAACCCAAATTATTAAGAGGAAACTAGGAGCAAACATCTTGGGGATGACAAGGCCTGGGGATGATAGGGTGATGGGCACTGAGCAAGGGAGACAAGCAATGACAAAGGGAAAGACGGAACAACTTCAGTCCTTACTGCCATGTTAACTTTTCATGCCCCTGTATGTCCAAGGAGCTCAAACTCACTCTCCTTCTTGGCCCCCTTTTTTTTGCTGTTCTTTGCTTTTTCCTTGGGCTTTTCACCCCGTGTCTCAATCATGGACCTCACAGGTTTCTTGGCCTTTTCTGAATCTTCAAATTTCTTCATGGTAGTGGGAGCACGGACCTTACTGCTCTCCTCTGCTTCACTAGAGAGAAGGGAATGATCAAAGTCCAGAAAAAGGGCCCTCATACCAAGAGGTCAATTAGAACTGGGCAGCAAATTCAGGAGTGTGTTTCAATACAATTTACTACCCTTGAACCACCCTCAGGAAAGAAGGGAGCTCATCAGGTCATGGAAATCGATTTTGCAGAGGGGTGGCCTCTCACCGAAGGAGCCGCAGGAAGTCATTTTGGAAATCAAAAGTGCCATTCAATAGACTTAAAGCACTTTGCTGTTGGATCTCTGTGCGGTACTTGTCCCGAAACAGCCGGTGCACATCATCTATCAATTTGTCTACATACGTCAGTGTTAGGATCTTTTGAAAACCAACCTGTTCAGGGAGAGAAACAGAACCAACAGATCTGCTTACGAGCCAACTCAACTCAGGCCTCCTGAGACTGGCTCAGCGGCCTGGCAGGTTTCCCTGACCTGAGGGGCAGCCAAGCTCTCTGGGCTCAGGAGCGTCTTCCCTTTCCCCCTCCACCCTCTCTCTGTCTTCTCAGTTACTTCATCACATACGCTGGGTGCAATTAATTAGGGTTTTCTTAATCAGGATTATGTTGAAAGTGTAAATGTCCCTCTTAAATACCCCCACTTACCACAAACACCAGCTCAAACTGGTTGTCCAGTTTATACTTGAGTGTGAGTGCCTCATGGGTGAAAGAGTTGTTACCTCCCCTTTCCTGGAAAAAAAAAAAAGTATGTCTCAACTTCAGACTACCCAGAAAACCCAGACTTGGGCCCTTCAAGGATTACCTTTGGGAAAAAACCAGACAGTTCCCTTAAAGTCAGACTTGTCCCGAGGACAAGAGGATGCTTGGACCTTGCTCTCTAGCATCCCATCAGGGAGACGAGGAGGTACCAAGTTGGGGGAAGGGGAGAAGAGGTTAGAAGGAAGGCAAGACACGTGGAAGCCAGAAGGGACCTAATGATACAATCAGATTTACTAGCAGCTGTACACTATTTTTAGAGGCGTTTTTCCATTTTCACACCCAGCCTTCGAAACAACAGAAAAATCAAGCTGCTTGGCGGGGGGGGGGGGGGGGGGGGGGAGGGGGGCGGAGGGTAAATGGAGGGAACTATGGGAAATCTCAAGAAGCGCAGGAATTCGGCTAGAGTCCCAGAAACGGAGGGGGAGGGGGGCGTCGCAAAGTTGCGGGACGGTCGGATGGGGGCGGGAGAGAGAAGCGGAGTCCTGGCAACGAGTGAGTGGCCAGTTTGGGATAGGCGGAGAGGGTGGGAGGGAGGTGTGGGATCAGCTGAAGAAGCTATGGACCGGATCAGGGGGCCGAGCCCAGAGTTCTGATCCCGCGGGGAGCGATACCTGCAGCAGCACAGAACGAATCAACGCATTAACGGGCCCGGTGCATGAGTCGCTCACGCCCTGGAAGCACCAGAGCACAAGCCCGCCCTTGGAGAAAATGGTGAAGAAGTCGAGCATGGCGGCAGCGGGAGAGGAGCCGGGGCCGGCGCCGGGAACTCAGGCCGCGATCGCCGCCGCTTCCTGCTGCGCCAAGCGCGGGACACGTCACACCCGCGGCCCCGGAAACCGGCTCAGCCGCACTTCCGCTCAGAGCTGTCGTGTTCTTTCTCCGCGTCCGCCCGGGGGCGCGCAGCGCTGACGTAGACGCCAGGCTCGCCAATGGCGGGGGGGGCGGGCCTGGGCGGGGCTCTCGGGGACGACGGCCTGTAGGGCTTAAGGGCGGGGCCTGAAGGGACCACTGGCCAATGGGCGCACTCGTCTGAACGGCCTGCGGCGCGGAACCGTGACGGCGGGGTGGGCATGGCGTAGGGAGGAGGCAGAGTGCGAGTCTCAAAGAGGCTGTTGGTAGAGTGACCATGCTGCGAAGGGCGTTGCAGCCAGGCTTGAGCCGGGGCGTCTTGGGCCGGGGGCTAGGCACACACAGAGGACGTTCCACTCTGGGTAAAGTTGAAGGCAGCGGAGGGTATCGTGGTTCTTGGGTGGCCCCAGTCTCCAGCTATGTGACCTTCAGAACTCGGGACCCGACCCACGATGGAAAGACAGTGGGTCGGCTGGGAGAAGGGGGTAAGCTTGCCTGCCGGATCTTGTAAAGCCTGAGCAGATGAATGGATCAAAACAGAGAGAACCCCTGTGTAGATTCCCTGTGGTGGGATGAAATAAAGCACCATCAAGGTGTGGAAGGGGCTGGAGTGGGGGAGTAGGGAGAGAACAGGGTAAACAGGAGCCAGACTGTGCAGTGTCTCATAGGCCGTGTTGAAGATTTTGGACTTTTATTCGTGGAGTAACGGAAAGCCACTGGAAGGTTTTAAGCAAGACAGTGTGTGATTAAATTAGTGCTTAGAAAATATTCTAGCTATGATGCAGAGGAGTTGGGCGGGCAAGAGGGGAATTAGTGGGAACCATTAGGAGCCTTTTGCATTAGTCTAGGTGAGAGCTTATGGTGGTTTGGTCTAGGGTGGTGGTAACAGAGATGGGAAAAAACGGGGGGCGGGACAGATTGAGGAGATATTTAGGAGACAAAGCCATCGGGGCTTAACAATAGATGGGACATGAATGTAGCTTTGCTGGTGGTGATGGATGGCCAGGATAAGATGCCACTCAGAGTATCGTGCTTCAGAGGGCACTGCACCTTGTGCCAGGACCTACTGGTCCAGGAGCCTGGAACATCCAAGACGAGAGGACAATGCAGTTGAATATATGAGCCTGGGGCTCAGAGGAAAGAGCAGTCTGCACAGGAGATAAACATGTGTAAGTCACCTGGCCTAGGGAGAGAGTACAGAGTGTTCATTTTAAGAAGTTGAATCCTGCATTGCTGGGCACGATGCATGAGAAGGCAGAGAGCTGAATGGCATACAGACCGTATAGTGAAGCTGTGGAATACTGCTGGGTGTGAGCTGACCTTATGAGATGGGAGGGCCATGGAGACAGCCACCTCAGTGTCGTCTTAGCCCACCTTTTCCTGTGCCAATCCTCTAACCCCTTACCACTTGGAAAGAGAATGTCTGGCCTTCTGACCGTAATTGCATCCCACAGACCAGAATGGAAAGGTGTCCGAGATTAAGAAGAAGATCCAGTCAGTCCTTCCTCGAGGGGCCTGGAATCCACTGCGCGACACCAGCTACCTGCCCCCTGAACACTCGGATGTGGTGATTGTGGGGGGTGGGGTGATTGGCCTGTCCGTGGCCTATTGGCTGAAGAGGTTGGAGAAGCCACAAGGTGCCATTCGGGTGCTGGTGGTGGAACGGGACCACATGGTGAGGTCTGGGGGAGGGTGGCGGCATGAGTAGGGCACGGACTCATATTTTATTAAGGGGCAAGGGGAGCAGAGGGGAGGAAAGACTTCAGTCTTTGGAGGTCCAAAGTCCAAAGGGACTGTACTCTGGCTCTTGTTGAGAAATAGTCGCAGGTGCTTCCTCCCTCAAATTAGAGGCTTTGGCAGTAAGGTTTTTGCTTTTAAAAGCAAATTTCACAGTGTTGGATCTTCTGGACGCCCAGAAGGTCCAGCAAAGAGAACCTGTGTTTCTGCTGTAAGGAACACAAGCAGCTATCTCATCCCTTCGAGATTCTGTTACTTCTGAGGTTTTGCACAGTTGTTCTATTTTATTTTCTAAGATTTTATTCATTTATTTGAGAGAGAGCATGCACAAGTGGAGAGGGAGGGGCAGAGGGAGAGGGAGAAACAGACTCCCCGATGCGGGGCTCGATCCCAGGACCCTGGAATCATGACCTGAGCCGAAGGCAGACGCTTAACTGACTGAGCCACCCAGGCGTCCCTAGTTGTTCCTATTTTAACCAGTGCCAGTTAACCAGGAATCTTGCTAGTTCTGTTTTCCGGTTGGGTAGATGAAATGCTAGTTTCCTGCCCTTGGACTTCCAGGCCATTCCCATTCTGTGCCACAGTGCCCAGCCCTTTTAGATGACTGATTCTCTCTGCTCTGCACATCCGCTAAGAAGGATTTTAGGGGCGCCTAGGTGGCTCAGTCGGTTAAACGTCTGCCTTCGGCTCAGGTCATGATCCCGGAGTCCTGGGATCGAGCCCTGCGTCGGGCTGCGTCGGGCTCCCTGCTCTGCGGGAGGCCTGCTTCTCCCTCTCCCTCTGCCCTCCCCCCAACCGCCACCGCCTCGTGCTCACTCTCACGTGCTCCTTGTCTCTCTTTTTTTCTCTCTCTCTCAAATAACTAAATAAAAAATTAAAAAAAAAGAAAAAAGGATTTTAATTATAGTTGCCCTCTTTGGGTGCTGGTTGACTTGCATATGGGTTTATCTACCTCGACTCCTCTTAGATTACAAGCTTGCAAGTAGGACTCCCCTCTATTTGTGGGTGCTTCTGTTAGAGGATTCTGCTCACGTGTGACGGGCTACTGGCCGCCCTCAGCTACTTTGGTCTTTCCACAGTATTCCCAGGCCTCCACCGCACTGTCTGTGGGCGGGATTCGGCAGCAGTTCTCGGTGCCTGAGAACATCCAGCTCTCCCTCTTTTCAGTTGAGTTTCTGCGGAACATCAACGTACGTGCAAAGGGGCTTGGGAGTTGGGGTTGTGACCTCTCCTTTAACCCAGAGAGAGGAGCCGCCCAGCCGGCCAGGGGAAGCAGGGAGCAGAAGCAGTTCAGGCAAGTAGGAGTTGGAACCTCTAGTTCTGTCCCCGGTGGTGGTACCCAGAGGAGGAGGGCTTCCCCAAGTCTCGGGAGCTATTGGTGAGGAAGCCAGGTGAGCTTTCCCTTCCTTCTTTAAATCAACTTTTTTTTTTTTTTTTTTTTTTTTTTTTTGCATGTAGGAGTACCTGGCTGTAGTCGATGACCCTCCCCTGGACATCCAGTTCAACCCGTCGGGTTATCTCTTGCTGGCTTCGGAAAAGGGGGCTGCAGTCATGGAGAGCAACGTGAAGGTGCAGAGGTGGGTGCCTGGCACGACCGCCCGGCAGACTCCAACACCGAGTTAGGAGCTGGGGCGGGTGAGTTGATAAGACAGGTCTCGACTGTGCGGAAGCTCAGTCTATCAGGTCACACAGACCGGACCTCCGCGACCCTGTGCTGTCCCACGGACGTGGACCACGCGCTGCCGCGGTGGTTCCTGAATTTGCCAGATCCTGAGAGCCACCTGGAAAGTCCCACACCTGATGAGCCAGAACCTCTAGGGAAGAGCCCAGGAATCTGCACACTTCTCCTGTAAGGGCCAGAGACCCAACGTTTTAGGCTTTTGGGGTCATATGGTCTCTGTGGCAGTCACTCAGCTCTGCAGTTGAAACAGAAGCAGCCATAGACAAAACATGGACAAAAGTCTGAATGAATGAGTGTGACTCACATACAAAGATGCAGGCAGCAGGCCGGTTTGGGCGGCCCCTCTCCTGAGTCAGTCTCATGGTTGGACGAGAGTGCATGTGTTTAACAAATAGATTTGCAGGGGATATCAGGTAATGTCCCAGATGTAGCACTTACTCAGGTAGCCACCCAAACATCCCCATTTTACACATGGGTACACTGAGGCACGAGGCGCTAGTCAGTGGTGGTGCTGGGATTCAAACCAGGCAGCCTGCCTTGCCATTGTGTTCTTTTAGGATCTGTGTTGCTGTGTTTGGGGGACAGTGTCCCATAGGAGATTGTTGTGCCGGTGGACAGGGCTGTACTAGAAAGTGGACAGGAAGGCCATTCTAGGCAGAAGAGAACGGAACAAGGGGAGGGAACCAAGTGACCTGCTCTGTTGTGAAAGGACAGGGAATAGTTAGGGGATGACAGGGAGTTTAGTGTGGCCAAGGAGATACCAGAGTGCAGGAAAGGGAAGCGGGGTCAGGTGCTGAAGAGCCATGACTAGGAGGCTTGGTCTTGACCCCCTCAGCAAGGAGGAAAACTTGCAAGGAGGAGTTTGGGGCAGAGATGTGACATAAATGAGGCAGGATCCCCACTTGTGGAGTTGGGGTCCCTACTTCTCCCTCTCCGCACCCCCCCCGCCCGACACACCTGCACACAGTTGCATGTTTCTCTCAGGCAGGAAGGAGCCAAAGTCTGCCTGATGTCTCCTGAGCAGCTTCGGAACAAATTTCCCTGGATAAACACAGAGGGTGTGGCGTTGGCATCTTACGGTGAGGCCTGCTTGCAGAGGGGTTCAGGGGTCAAGGGGTGCCTCAGGTTGGGAGTCTCAGCACCTTCTAGCTACGTCAAGAAGCAGTGCTTCCTCCTGGCCAGCAGAGCCTCCCCCCAGGCCATGCTCGCTCTCTGTCCTTCCACAGGATTTGCCTCTGGTGCACTTGGGCACCATGACCTTCCCTGGCTCATGAGCCCTAAAAAGGAGTCAGGGGCATGGGAAATCCAGTAGGAGAGGAGGGTCCTAATCCCGCCTCATGAGCCCTCTTGCTCATCACAGGGATGGAGCACGAAGGTTGGTTTGACCCCTGGTGTCTGCTCCAGGGGCTTCGGCGGAAGGTCCAGTCCATGGGGGTCCTCTTCTGCCATGGAGAGGTGACACGTGAGTCTGAGGTCCCATGCTTCTTCCCTCCGCCAGCCAGGGCACAGGCGTGGATGGGGTCTTACCTTCACTCACGGGCTAAGCAAGAGTTGGTGGGAAAGGGGTTTCTCCCTGAGGGCTGGCCATTCTGACCCCAGCTCCTAACTCGGCTTCTCTGCACGATTTACGATGTACTTGAAGGTCTCGGCACGCTCCCGACTTGTGTGCGGCCGAGTTCGTCCTGGTTATCCTATCTCTGTGCGAAAACCCCCGCCTTCCAGCTCGCTTTCCTCGTGAAACCCATGGAATCTCAGTCTTGCCGTCTTCAGGCCTCAGGAGTTCTTTTTTTTTTTTTCTTCCCATGCAGGTTTTGTCTCTTCGTCTAGCCACACGGAGACCACAAGTGGGGAAGAGGTGACTTTGAGAAGGATCCATGAAGTCCATGTAAGTTCCCAGTCTGTGCATCTTCCTTGCCAAAGCGGAGGGATAAGACAGGTAACAACTGTCATCTTCATCTTTTTCTGCCCACTTCCAGTCTGGGCAGACTAAGGCTCAGGAAGAAATGTACCTCTCACGGTGCCCGGTGTGTGGGCCAGGCCCTCCCTCCCCTCCCCCTTTGGTGCCTGCAGGTGAAGATGGACCGCAGCCTGGAGTACCAGCCTGTGGAATGTGCCCTCGTGATCAATGCGGCAGGGGCCTGGTCTGGCCAGATCGCAGAGCTGGCTGGTGTCGGGAAGGGGCCCCCTGGCACCCTGCAGGGCACCCAGCTACCTGTGGAGCTGAGGAAAAGGTAACTGCCCTCGGGGCGGCTGAGGAGGGTGGGGAAAGGGGCAGAAGCAGTGTAAGAGTTTGTTAAATGTGGTCTGGGGGGGCAGGGGGCGTGCTCTTCCCACCATTTTCTAACCTCGTCGTGGCAGGTATGTGTACTTGTGGCACTGCCCCCAGGGACCGGGCCTGGAGACCCCATTCGTCATAGATGCCAGTGGAGCCTATTTCCGCCGAGAAGGACTAGGCAACAACTATCTGGGTGGCTGTAGCCCCACTGAGGTAAGCTAAGCAGGGTTGGGGTGCTGGGCAGGAGCCGTAGGCCAACTGTCATTAAAGAGTCAGGCTTTGGGGCGCCTGGGGGGCTCAGTCAAGCCTTTGCCTTCAGTTCAGGTCAGGATCCCAGGGTCGTGAGCTCGAGCCCCGCGTCGGGCTTCCTGCTCGGGGAGGAGTCTGCTTCTCGCTCTCCCCCCCTGCTTGTTCTCTCTCTCTCGCTCACTCTCTCTTTCTCTCAAACAAATAATAAATAAAATCTTAAAAAAAAAAAAAGAAAAAGAGTCAAGCTCTTTGGAGGGCCCAGCGCTGTTACTGATGTTCCAGCCCCTCTCGGTTTGAATTGGGATCTCCCCCCCTGCCCCCCACCTACTGAGGGGATTGAGTAAAGGGTCGGTGAGGTCTGGGTCGGCCCTTGTGTCCCAGGGAGCCTAAGTCCTGTCCCCACCTCTCACTGCAGGAGGAGGAACCGGACCCAGGGAACCTGGAAGTGGACCATGATTTCTTCCAGGACAAGGTGTGGCCCCCTTTGGCCCAGAGGGTACCGGCTTTTGAGACTCTGAAGGTAACTAGGAGGCACATGAGCCTGGAGCACGTTGGTCCCCTTGGAAATCCTGTCCACTGCCACACGCCCTCCACCTCACAACTGCTAAGGACTCGTGGTCTAGGGACCCATCCCATCAGCCCCTCAGCAGCTGGGAGAGCAGCGTCTGACCCCTGAGCAGGAGTGAGGGTGGCACATGTCAGCACTTTCCTGGGAACCCCAGCGTCCTGTCCACCTGCAGGTTCGGAGTGCTTGGGCTGGCTATTACGACTACAACACCTTCGACCAGAACGGTGTGGTGGGTCCCCACCCGCTCGTCGTCAACATGTACTTTGCCACAGGCTTCAGTGGCCATGGGCTCCAGCAGGCCCCCGCCGTGGGGCGAGCTGTGGCAGAGATGGTGCTGGATGGCCACTTCCGGACTATCAACCTGAGCCCCTTCCTCTTCAACCGCTTTTACTTGGGAGAAAAGGTCCAGGAGCACAACATCATCTGAGCCTGTAAGCTCTTCACTGGGCCCCGCTGCGCCATCCGTCACCCTTGGCTCACATTCACATCCTCCTCACTGTGGCTTCCTCCCCAGCACCAAGCCAGGCTCTCCTCCATCCTCCTCTCCCCCCGGGGCTGGGCGGGCAGGCAGGCCGACTCTAGGCTTTGAGAGGCACTGTGCCTGAGGCCCAGGCCAACAGAGAATGATGGGGTGAGACCCCAGGACTGATCTCTGGCCCGGGCCAAGGCCGCCCACCAAGGTAGTGCAGCTGGGCAGAATACCTGAGCACGTGCCCCAAGACTGGCTTCTTCTGGCACTGACCCGGAAAGATTGCCTCTGCCTCTCTTTGGCAGGCTCCAGTGGAGCCCAGGCAGGGGGCATTGCAGGGCAGCCTGGCCCAGATTTAGTGATTGTTTACCTTTTTCATCAGTCAATAAATGTGATTACTCTTTCCATCCGGGCCTCTGTCCCTTCTACTTTCACCTCCTAAAGCACCCACTAGCCTTTCACACCAGACTGGGAGGAGCATGGCCTTCTCTTCTCAGGAACATTTTAAAGTCCTCCTTATAGGCATCTTGTTTGCAAGCGAATGCCTCCTCTTCCTGAGTCCCTGCAGGGGTTTGGTTGTAGAATGTAGGGAAGGCTTCGTTCATTTATTCACTCTCTATTCAGCTCCAGCTCTTGGCCAGGCCCAGGGCTGCATGTTAGGGATATGCAGCAGACAAGGCATACTGTGTGTCGTCACGGGAGTGTTCTTATCTCTGCCCTGCCCTTCAGCCCAGATCACATGTAGTGCCATCCCTGTAGTGCCGGGAATAAGCACAGGTCCTGGACACCTCGTCTCACCTGGGTGTTTCTCCATGAAGCTTCTCAGGGAAGTTGACCTCTGAGCTGAACCTACAGGACGAGCAGTTTAACGAAGTGAACGCACAGAGGGGAAGCGGGGAGGAGAACGAGGTCGGGGGTGATTGCAGGCTTCAGGAAAACCATATACAAATGCCCAGGACCAAGAGTTAGTAAGATTCAAGGGACAGTGAGAGATTTGTCCAGGCAAGATCACGGAGGGAAGGAAGAGAGGCAGTAAGATTCGGGGCAGGGCCAGGAGCCCAATAGCCATGCTGTGGCGCTTGGGTTGTATTCTGTGGGCTTTCAGTAGAGAAGCAACATGCTCCGATTTTCCTTTTAGAAAAATCACCATGACTGCCTTGTGGCGAATAGACTATGATGTCAAAGCAGGAGGGCAGATGGGAGGCTATCACTGGAGTCCACAGGGCAGACAGCGGGGCCTGCACTGTCCGGGCAAGAAGCATGTGTGTCCAAGAAGTGACAGTAGTCATGAGAAATGGGGTCAAGTAAGACTCAGGTTTTTGGCTTGGACAGCTAGATGTATGTCTTGCCTTTCACAGGGGTGAGGAACACACCAGGAAGGAGCAGGGTGAGGGACAAAATGAGTGGTAGAGTGTGGGACATGTTGAGTCAAGGGTGCTTACAAGGACATTGGGTAGAGCTGTCTAGCTGGGAGTTGAATGTACTGCTGGGCACTCAGGATGATCTAGGCTGCAGAGATATGGACACCATGGAAGAGAAGGGCATCCCCCTTGCAAGGGGAGAAGAGTAGGAGACCAAGGGGGGAAGCCGGGGGGGACCTCACTGTCATTTTAAGGGACGAACGAAGGGAGAGGAAGCCGAAGAGGTGGCCAGAGAGGCGGGAGAAAAGCCGGGAGCATGAGGTGTCTCGGGAACCTAGGAGCGCTCTGCGATGTCCATGCACGCTCACAGGCTGGATCAGTACCAGGTAGGTCAGTGGGGCCCCCAGGGAGAGCGGTTCGGGGAAGAAATGTACCTTGGTGGGGTGCGAGGTGACAGTTGTTCGGAAGGGAGAAGTGAATGGGAGTAGAGACAGTAAAATGTTCATTCCCCCTCAAAAGCAGCCTTTGGGGAGAAGAAGGAAAAGGATGGGCCTGACTATCAGTTGTGTGAGGGAGGGCGGACCGGGGACAGGGGAGTGGCACTGCCCCCTGAGGTAACAGGAGAAGCCCCTGGGGCTGGGGAAGAGCCAGGACTGATGAGGCCAGCAAAAGAGGAAGAGGCTCCAGTGCTGAAAGATAGGAAGGAACTTGCCAGGGGCATGGGCTAGGGACAACTCAGGCCAAGCCCAACATCCGTGGTAACCCTGTAAACTAGCCTCGTCATAGCCTCGTCAGGTGCCCAGTATTCACTCACCCTGCCTTCAGTAGCTACCCCCCTCTGTGGGTCAGAAGGAAAATGGCCTTCATCTGGCTCCTCACCCTGAAGCTACTTCAAGATGACAAACACTGTCCTCATTTATTAAGAATGCATTAACGAGGCCTCGTAGGAGAGCACTTACCCTGCCATCGGTCTTCCCTCTCAGTCCAAGCCTCCTTCACCTTTGCCCCCAACACTGAGCTGTCGCCATGCGTGTCATCCACCCGCTCTCAGCCAGGTTTCCCTGAGTGCCTGTGCCCTGCGCTGGAGCCGGAGGGGAGCCCTGGCTTCAGAGACCTCGCAGTCTAATGGGAGGGCCCACCCCCGGTAAGCTCAACTCCGAACAACACAGGGTGGTACAGGGCTGGTGGGGAAGGAGGTGGGAAGGGCAGGGTTAAGAAAGCCGTAGAAAGGAGCCTTGCCAGAAGGGGGCGCCGGAAGAGCACAGCTGGGAAAGAAAGGGCACGGTGGGTGGAGGGAACAGCGTAGGTCAAGCACCCAGCCGGCAAAGCAGAGGTGTGTTGGATAAAGGGTAAAAGAAACCCTTCCTGTACTTCCTACCTACTTCATCTCACCTACTCCTCCCCGCAACACTGGGAACCAGATAACTGTCAGCTGACCACGAGTGAAGTGAACCGAGACAGGCCACGTACTTCCCCAAGGTTAGAGGGCTAGTAAGTGATGAGCTCTGGATGTGAACCCCAGCGATCTTGCTCCAGAACAGCTCCAGAGCCCTCATGTACAGTCCGAGACCGCACTGCCTCCCAGGAGTAGCCACTAATTCGCTCTGCTGGCTGGTGAGAAACGTAGGAAATCTGACTGAAAGGGAGATCATGAATCATGAATCTTCCATCAGTCCTATTAAACCAGCTGCATCGTCCAGCATTTGGGAGGAATGTTTCCCAAACTGCCATGCCATGGAACACGGCTCAGGAGGATACTGGTATTTCTACTACGGTGAAACAAGTCTGGGAAAGGCTACCGGTTGTCTTCCCTTCACCCTCCACCCCCACCCCGTCCTGGTGCTTCACAAAGCTCATCAGCAAGCGGGCAGGTAAAGAAATCCTGCACTTTAACCCAGGACTCAGCCAATGTCTTGCTCATCACGTTTGTGCAGCAGGGAAGCGCGGGGTTTGGCATCGGCTTCCAACACCCGCCTCGGTTGTGCCCCCCCAACCCCCACCGCCCCATTTCTGCGGTTGAGAGCTCCGCTACCACCTACCATGTGGACTTCGGACAAGTCCTTAAATCTCCACTTTTTTTTTTTCCTTTTTCTTTTCTTTCTTACTCCCCCCCGCCCCCGCGCCCCCGCCGCCCCAGGCCGCGCATGGGGGAGGAGTAGAGGGAGAGGGCTAGAGAATCTTGAGCAGGCTCCACGCTGAGCAGAGCCGCACCCAGGCTGGATCTCAGGACCCCGAGATCATGACCAGAGCAGAAATCAAGAGTGGGAGACTTAACCGACTTAACCGATTCAGCCACCCAGCCACCCACTTTTTTAACTATAGAAAAAAAAGGTACAAGGGCTGGTCTTGCGGGTCGTTAAGAGAATTAAATGAATGGAACAAGGGTTTCTTTCCTTCTCCCCGACACAGAACAAAGCCGAGGCTTCAGGCTGTCCGCGTGGGTTTCGGGGGACGCGGGAGCACCGACTCTTCTCCAGGTTTCTGCGGGTTTGCCGGCTCCGGAGCTCCCAGGGCCCCGGGGGCGGGGCGGCGAGGGGGAGCACCGGGGAGGCGCGGTTCCCAGGCGGAGCGACCCGGCGGCCGCCGGAGGGCCTTGCCGGCTCAGGGCGCGGGCCAGAGAGGAGGGGCCGCGGGGCCGGCCGCCTCGCCGCTTCCGGGGGAGCCGGAGAGCCGGGCGGCCATCTGCCCGGGCCTGCGCGCCGCACTTCCCCTCGCCGGGGGCGGCCGGCACCGCGCGGGAGTCCGAGCCAACCCCGCGGTCCGCACCGCCGCGGGGTCTCCGCCACCCACGCGCAGGTGAGCCCTCGGCGGGGGCGGGAGCGAGGGCGGGGTCCCCGGGGTGGGGGTGGGACTGTGGGACCCCTGCGCCCCGGCCGTGCCTCCCGGACTGGCCGCATGCATCCCTGCGGCACATCTGCCCCGGGGGACCGCCTTCCTCTCTCCTGCCCCCTTAACCTGGCTGCCTTCAGCAGCCTGAACGCGGAAACGGGATGGACAGGCTCTCCGAAGAAAGCTGTCACTTTCTCCTCCGCGAAGGAGCTTGTGCAGGGAGCGCCCCCCCCCCTTTCAGTGTGGGTTGAAGACCCTGGCTTGGTGGGGTTGTTTCCATCTTTAACTGTAGTGTTTCTACCACAGTCTCCCCACATCCTTCTTTGCTCTTCTGATGGTCTTTGCGAGTGTTTCAGCAAGAACATGGCTTTAGTTAGGGTTCGTGACCTACCGAGGCATTTCTTTGACGAACATCTTATCTTGGGCAGGCCAACGCGTGCAGTGCTGGAGTGACCGCAGTGGACAGGGTGGGGTCAGCCCTGTCCTCCCCCTGAGGACGTAAATTAGAAATCACGGCGCAACCCTGGTAAGTGCCACCAGGAGAGGGGCAGTCCGGAGTACTCCAGCAGCTGAGACCTAAGCCAGAGGGCATCTAGAGCCTTGAGTGACTGACTGTCAGAAAGTCACATCTAGTTATTTTTTTTTAACTTTTAAGAAACTATTGAAATACGACCTGCATATAGAGAACTGCACAATCATAAGTGTGCAGCTTACCCAGTTTTCAGAGAGTGAACATTTCCTGCACAACCTGTATCCAGAATAAATAAAATATGGCTAGCACTCCAGAACCCTCTATGTCCACTTCCATTGACTGCTTTCATCTAAGGGGAGCTATTATCCTGGCTTGTCACATCATAAAATTTTGCTTGGTTTTGAAGTTTTGATATGTGGACTCGTGTGTACCTACTTTTTATGTATAGTACTTTACACTCAGTATGTGAGATGCAGCCATGTTGCATTTAGCCCTGATTCATTAATCTCAACTGATGTGTGATTTTGCACTGTACAGATAGAGCACAATTTATTTCTACTTTCTACTGGACACTTGGGTGGATGGACATGGGCTGTTTCCAGTTTGGGTTTGTTGTTTTTTTTTTTTTTAAATAGTGCCTCAAGGATTCTTGTGGTTGTCTTTTGGGGGACGTATGTAGCAGTCCTGTTGGGTATATCCCTAAGAGTGGAATCGCTAGGTGTGTTTATGTTCAGCTTTAGCATAGTTTAGTGCCACATGGTTTTCCAAAGTGCTTGTAGGAATTTACACTCCCAACAGCAGTGTGTGAAGTCCTATTCCTTAACATCTTTACCAATACTTGATATTGTCTCTTTTTTTCATTGTAGTATTCTGCTCAGTGCTCGAGCAGTGGTGTCGCACTGAGGTTTTAATTTGCATTTCTCTTTTGACTGATCAGTCTGCATCTTTTCTTTTCTTTTTTTTTTTAAGATTTTATTTATTTAAGAGAGAGAAGAGAGAGAGAGAAAGTACATGGGGGGGGAGGGTCAGAGGGAGAAGCAGACACCCTGCCGAGCAGGGAGCCCGATGCAGGACTCGATCCCGGGACTCCAGGATCATGACCTGAGCCGAAGGCAGTCGCTTAACCAACTGAGCCACCCAGGCGCCCAGTCTGCACCTTTTCATGTCGGCCATTTGGATATCCTTTTTGCAAAGTGTTCAATTCTTCTGCCCATTTTTTTCAATAGATTATTACTTTTTTTTTTTTAAGACTTTATTTGACACAGAGAGAGACAGCTAGAGAGGCAACACAAGCAGGGGGAGTGGGAGAGGGAGAAGCAGGCTTCCCGCCAAGTAGGGAGCCCGATGCGGGGCTCGATCCCAGGACCCTGGGATCATGACCTGAGCCGAAGGCAGACGCTTAACGACTGAGCCACTCAGGTGCCCCAGATTATTACTTCCTCACTAGTTTGTAAGAGTTCTTAAATATTCTGGTTATGAAACATTTATTGGATATGTATTTTTAAAATATCTTCTCGGGAGATTGCCTTTTCACTCTCTTGAAGGTGGCCTTTGATGAACAACAGTTCTTCACTTTAATGTTGCCCAATTTATCTCCCCCCACCATGGTTGAATTATTTATGACCAGTTGAAAAAATCTTCACTTACCCCAGGGGGTAGTGGGTGGGCAAAATGAGTGAAGGTGGTCAAAAGATACAAACTCCAGTCATAAGGTAAAGAAATCCTGGGGATATAAATTTATAGCCTGGTGACTAGACTATAAAACTGTATTGCATATTTGAAGGTTGCTAACAGAGTGGATTTATTCTCATCACAAGAAAAAAATGTGTAACTATGTGGTGATGGATGTTAGCTAGACTTATTGGGTGACCATTTCACAATATATACATATATCGGATCATTGTGTTGTGCACCTGAAACTAATGTTTTATGTCAATTACATCTCAATTTTAAATAATCAGAAGATGAAGTCAGGAGGATAAACTCCTATATTTTCCTCTAAAAGCTTTATTGTTTTTCTCACTTATATCTGCCATCCATTTGAAATTGAGTTTTTTGTATGGTGTGAGATTTGGGTCAAGATTTATTTTTTTCCACAAGGCTATCAAATTTTTTTTTTAACATTTTATTTATTTATTCATGAAGGACAGAGAGAGAGAGAGAGAGGCAGAGGGTGAAGCAGGCTCCCAAGGAGCAGGGAGCCTGACGCGGGACTCGATCCCAGGACCCTGGGATCATGACCTGAGCCGAAGGCAGACGCTTAACCATCTGAGCCACCAGGCGCCCAAGGCTATCAAAATTGATGCAGCACCACTTTCCCCACTGCTTGGCAGTGTCAGCCTTGTCATCAGGAGACTGTATGGATGTGGGTCTGTTTCTAGACACCCTGTTCTTCCATCCATCTGTGTACTCATGCATGAGTAGCATGCTGCCTTAAATAATGCTTTATAATAAGTCTTCATTATTTTATTATTTATCTTTATTATTCTGGTGGTGGAAGCTCAGCATTGTTCTTTAAGATCTTAGGTATTTTTTTTAATCTATGCCTCCCAAAACTTCTTTAAAAAAAAAAAAAATATATATATATATATATATATATAAAGGAGTCATTTGGTAACCTCAACAGGACTAATGTAAAAGGGTATACAATTGGCATAATTTGTAAACTGTACCCATTCATAAATTTACTACTGGCACTATCTGTATTATATTCAATGCCGCATATTTACATCAGATCTACTGCAAAGTAAATACAAAATCAATTTACACCATTTTAGTTAAAATGAGCTTTAGTACCTGTATGATACAGTTTCAGAACAAAGAGAATTTTTTAAAACTAAGAAGCTGAGGTATCCCAAAGACCAATTTGCTACTTTTTTGCAAAATACATCAACATTAATTATAATGCTTCCCAGTCATGTTTGATCAGTAAGATAGTTCCTGTGTGACTGAGCTTCAGCTAAACTTTTAGATTTGAATAACCAGTTACAATACTTTCGACTTATAATTAAATTTTTAAAAATGGGTGCTGTTACACACACATGTGCATATATATATATATACTTTTGGACATTTTTAAAGTCTTCAAAATTTATAAAATATACTTTTGAAACCGTATGTGCCAGCGAACATGATTTATTTTAATACAGGTCATAAGGCTTCAGTTAATCAACCGGAATTCTATGACTGTTTTCCGCCTGCTAGAGTTCCACCTTAAATTTGACTTTATAGCAGAATCAGTCATCTGGAATTTATTTCATAAATTCAGTCTCAAGATTTGCTGGGTTGCTTTCAATCACTTCACTGCGTATAAACAGAGGTAACAATATAAATTGAGAATGGTGGTTCCTTGGATCAGAGTTTCCTAGACAGCTCTTCAAAACTGGATTCTTGGGCCCCATTTCTAAAATATCGAATTTTAGATTTCCAGGAGAATCTATATTTTTTTAAAAGCTCTCTAGGTGATGACAATATGGTTTGAAAACCACTGACATAACCCACTAGACCAATCTTCTTAGGTATGTCCGAATCCTGCTTCCTAAGCTTTACCCAGAGATTTACTTCAGTAGATTTGGGAGGGGGCACGGGAACTGGCATTTCAAACCATCATTGCAGTTAGTCCCTGTATTTGTTTTCTGGGCTGCATAACAAATTACCACAAATGCATCAGTATACACCAACACCTATTTATTATCTCATAGTTTCTGTGGGGCAAGGGCCAGGCAAGACTTGACTGAATCTTCCTCTGGGGTCTTACCTGGCTTAAGTCCAGGTAATTAGCTGGGGCTGTAGTGCCACTGGGGATTCAAATGGGGAAAGATCCCCTACCGGACTCCCTCGGGTTGTTCTTTGTTGGCAGAATCTCCTTGCAGTTATAAGACTGAGGTCCGTTTTCTTGCTGGCTGTCAGCTGGCGATTACTTCTCTACAGGTTACTTCTAGAGATCACACAGCTTCTAGAAGCTGCCTGCAATTTCTTGACACTGGCCCTCTTCCAACAAGGCTGGCAAATTCTTCAAAGTCAGTAAAGGAATCTCTCTCCAGTCTGCTAAGATGAATTCAAACACACACACACACACACACACACACACACACACACACACACACAAAGTATGACACAATATTCATATATATGTTATATTCACATGTACACATCATTTTTTATATAATTTTATTTTTTTTAAGTAATCTCTACACCCAATGTGGGGCTTGAATTCATGACCCCAAGTTCAAGAGTCATACGCTCTACCAACTGAGCCAGCCAGGCACTCCACGTGTACTCACCTTATATAGTAAATATACATGGTGTGTGTATATACATATAAATGCATATACACACATGTACACATCATGTACATAGTAATGTAACCAGGTGAGTGACATTCCATAATCTTTGCCATATTTAGTCAGTTAGAAGTCATGAGTCTGGCCCACACAGGTGTGAACATGGCCATTCCAGATGCCCTTACTTTCTACTGTCTGTCTATTCGGGCCTGTCTACTAGTCTGCAAACCACTCTTAGAAACACAGTATTGGGGTGCCTGGGTGGCTCAGTCGTTAAGCATCTGCCTTCGGCTCAGGTCATGATCTCAGGGTCCTGGGATTGAGCCCCACATCGGGCTCCCTGCTCAGTGGGAAGCCTGCTTCTCCCTTTTGCACTGCCCCTGCTCGTGTTCCTTCTCTCGCTGTGTCTCTCTCTGTCAAATAAATAAATAAAATCTTAAAAAAAAGAAAAAAGAAAAGAAACACAGTATTGTATCTATCCAGCTATTAACAATTCAGTTGAACACTTTAAGTAACACTGTCCTGCAAGTCCTAATGCTCCTGCCCAACAAGTGTCTTAGCAAATGTTTGAGAAGCAAAACTTAACCTTTGAAACCAGTGTTCTTAATTTAAAGTCAAAATCAAGTGTCAGGATAATTTATTCATCAAAGAAGTGAAAAACTCTTTCAAATAATTTAAACCTTTAAACAGACCAGTCTTTAGCACTCAGATTCAATGCTTCCTCCGTTCACTAGCATGACAGACAATCAAAGATAGTGTAGTAGTTTCCTACTGTTTCTCTAACCAGTTACCAAAAACTTTGTGGCCTAATACGGCAGACATTCATTAGCCTACAGTTGTGGCAATCAGAAGTCTAAAATGGATTGGCGGGGCTATGTTCCTTCTGGATGCTCTAGAGAAGAATCCATCTACTTGCCTTTTCCAGCTTCTAGAGGCTGCCTGCATTCCCCCCACATCACACCAACCTCTGCTTCTATTGTCCCTCTTCCTCTCAGCCTGACCCCCCTGCCTGCCTCTTAGAAGGACCCTTGTGATGACATAGATCCCTCTCAGATCATCCAGGATACTCTTCCCATCTCAAGATCCTTAATCTCATCTGCAAAGTCCATTTCTGCCATGGAAGGTAGCATATTCACTGGTTCTGAAGATTAGGATGTGGACATCTTCATGGGACGTTACCCTGTCCACCACAGTGATTCCAGCTTAACAGAAATGTAATATGAATTATATAAAATACATATTCTAATCATATGTCTTCATAGTTTCTGTACATTCCCTGTATAAAAGAGATTGGACACCTGTTAGGTATTGGATAATACTTAATACACTTTGTACATTGAAACCTCGTAATATTTCCCTCACATAGTATGTTCCTACATATAATACTGCAAAAGCATTCTAAAAAACACTAAAGATATCATGCTGTTGCTTTTTTAAAAGAAGCTTTTACTAATTTTCTATCAAGTCTTTGTAATTATCTACAAAGTAGGCATTTAGGTATGTATCATTTTACTTTATGAATTTTTAAAGAGCACAAGGAAAAGTGACTATACCTAAGGCCTCATAACAAATCCAAGACTAAACAGAGCTAGTAATTAGACCTTCCATTTGGAGATTTAGGTTCATTATCTTCTCATATGTTTGACAACTATGTCTCCTCTATCTCAGTATATGACTAGTACTAAATCTTGTAAAGTTTAAAGCATATTTAAGTGTCAGAGTCTCATAGCTTCAGCTGCACAGGAACTGAAAGATAACAAGGAAGGTGCAGTGGAATTTTAGATTCTAGAAGTAGACAGTATATAGGGTTAATGGAACTTAATCTGTCATCTTGCTCAATTATCCTATGTCAAAGATAGTTTTTTCCTGTATTTAAACATTTCCGTGTAACAGTAGTCCCAAGGGCTTATACCACCCCACTTACAGTGGCATATGCTGTTGGGCAACTGGATTTCTTAACCAAGCAATGAAAACAGGTAATTACCAAAAATCAGCATGTATGACCAAAAGGGCAAGTCATTGTCATAAAATGAGAAACTGAAACTTTTAAATCCACATCTGTTAAGAAGATTAAAGTATTATGTTAGTTTCTAACCTTTAAACTACCATTAAGAGTATCAAGTGATTCTCCAGTTTATATCAAGGCCAAATAATGAATTTTAAAATTAAGACAAAATTGACAAAATATTTAAATAATTTATAAAACCCAGAGACATTATGTCTGCTACTGAGAGAAAGAAAGGGCATCTGGAATGGTTGAAATGAAGATGTCGAGGGACAGCGACCCCAGACCTGGGAAAGGATTTCAAAATCAGTGGTTATCAGGCACTGCCTTAACTTCAGCCTACCACTCAGACTGTTTGAAATCCAAAGAATATGAGGTGGGAAAAGAAACACACATACATGACAGTGTTCACCTTTTAATGTCTCCTTGGCTGGCTTAGCAGCTAACTGTTCTTCTCTTTCAAGATGTCTCTGGTTCCTGTGCCCACTCCACTTCTTTCTGCCCCCCTGGCTGCAGTGGTTTAAGGTCTTTTTTTTTTTTTTTTGAACTTTGATATAGTTTCATGAGTCATCAGTAACTTGTCTGATAGGCACTGGCTTGGCATAAAGGTGTGTAGCATTTAGCAGTGAACAAAGCATCATCCTCAACCTTGAATAACATCCTTTCAACTTGGAAATTTATTACTGTGTGTTTTGCAAAACAAGGAGTTTTTCTGTCAGTTCCCAGGGGTCTGTTTTGACCTCTGCAGACAGGTCAGAGTGAGAAAGCAAGCAGCTCTGCCCACTGCTCCAGTTTGAGAGCCAAGTTGTCCGCCAGCCCTTCACGTGCGAACGCTGCAGCCCCACCTCAGATCGGGGTGGCTCTGCTCCACATACCGTCTTCCCAGAAACCTAGGCTGAAAGAGCCTCCGCCATCAGGGGTATCCTGGTCATCGTGGTGGAAGGGAAACACAACAAACTGCCCATTGAAGACATTCCTGGTCCTCTGCATTTCCATATAAATTTAGAAGCAGTCTGACAATCGCCGCCCACCCCCCCCCAAATTCCAGAATTTGGATAACACTTACCTTTAGATTAGTTTGGGGAAAATTACAATGCTGGTATTCTAAATCATGAACATAATGTATCCCTCCAATATCTAAATTATTATTATTTTTTAAGATTTTATTTATTTGACAGAGAGAGAGAACACAAGCAGGGGGAGAGCAGCAGGGAGAGAGGGAAAAGCAGGCTCCCTGCTCCACGGGACTTGATCCCAGGACCTTGGGGTCATGACCCGAGCTGAAGGCAGACGCTTAACCGACTGAGCCACCCAGGTGCCCTGATCTAGATTATTTTAAATACGTACTAACCCACAGTATTTTCTGAATATTATATGCCGAATCATTAGCACTTTACATAAATTATGTCATGTGGTCTTCACAATAAAGCTGAGGAGGTTCTAGTTTTATTTCCATTTCAAAGATGGAGAAGCTGAAGCTTAGCAAGATTAAGTAGCTTGCCAAAGGCCGCAATTAATAAGAGGTGAGAATCCAGGCACTCTGCCTGTAGAGTCTGTAGACTTTACCACTATGTGACTCTATCTCCCTGAGCTGACAGCTGAGGGAGAGGGGAAAGGAGGAAGGGGGGGTAGGGGTGTTTCGATGGGAAGATGGATGGGTGGATGGAGGGAGTCTTCCCAAGGTTTCTTGCATGTGCTCTCACTACTGCTCAGCATCTACCTGGATACATAATTGTCCAAATAGCAACTGTGTCCGATTTCAGCATTGACACAGGAAGTCCTTGTTTGTGAAACTGTTTCTCCTTCTATTTTGAATGTTAGCCTTGCTGGATAGAGTATTCTAGGCTGCAGATTTTTGCCACTTAGCTCTTTGAATAGATCATGCCTTCTGGCTTGGAGAGTTTGTGCTGAAAAACCGGCTGCTTGCCTTATGGGTTTACCCTTACAAGTAACCATCTTCTTTTGTTTTGCTGCTTTTAAGATTTTTGCCTTACTACTATATATTGCCAATTTAATTATAATAGGTCTTGGTGTGGATCTGCTTTTGTTGATTTTGTTGGGGGTTCTCTGTGCCTCTTGGATCTGGATATCTGTTTCCTTACCCAGGTTACGGAAGTTTTCAGCTATTATTTCTTCAAATAAATTTTCTGCCCCCTTTTCTCTCTCTCCTCCCTCTGGGATCCCTATAATACGAATGTTATTATGTCTGATGGAGTCACTGAGTTCCCTAAGTCTATTCTCGTTTTGCATAATCCTTTCTTCTCTCTTTTGTTCAGCTTGCTTACCTTCTAGGTCACTAATTTGTTCCTTTGCTTCTTCCACCCTGTTGTCATTGCATCACACCTGTTTACTGTCTCATTTATTGCCGTCTTTATCTCTGAACAGTCATTTCTTAACTATGTGGTAAGGGTCTCCCTGAAGTTAATTGTCCCCTCAAGTCTAATGATCTGTCTTATGAGTGTTACTCTAAATTCTCTATTAGACAGGCTAGTTGTACCTGTTTTTCTTGGATTTCTGGCTGTGGCCTTATTTTGTTCTTTCATTTGGTGTAAATTCCTCCATGTACGCATTTTATCTAAATCTCTGTCACCTTCTCTGCGTTAGAAAAGCCAGTTGTGTCTTCCGCTCCTGAAGGCAATGGCCTTATGAAGAAGAAGTCATGCAGTGCCCAGGGCCTGGCACTTCAGTTATGTCTCTGGCATGTGCTGCATGCACTCTGCTGCTGTGTTTTGGCTGCCCTGTCCTTCGGGCCGTTTGTCTGCAGAGGCTCTCCTTCCCGGCAGTGAGCTGTGTTTGGTCCCTGGCCTGAATGTGGCGAGTTTTAACTAGGTGTGCTCTGGTTTGCTTGTTAAATGTGACCTGATAACTCCTTCCACTGGAGCCGAAGCCCTGCAGAACACTTCGGTCAGGAGACGTGGTGTGGGCAGCGGTTTGTGTTGGGTCTTCTGGCGGAAGGGGCCGCTGCCCGGGGAATGAGACAGACTGGGCCCCGGGCCGAGACCGGAGCTTGATGGAGAGGGGAAGTCCCACCAGAGTGCCGGGCGCCGGGGCGCAGTGTAAGCTGGTTAGGCAGCCAGTGTCCCGCAGAGCTGCCTCCCGCTGGTGGCTCTGTTTCTGGGAAATGGTGCTGGCCAACTCCTTTGTTCCTGGAAAGGTGTCTCTGTCTCTCCGGAGAAGAGTGAATAATCTGCCCCCAGTTGCTTGCCCACCTTCCCTCCAGGAGTTGGGCAGTACCCTCAGGGCTCTATTCCAGCCAACTCCTCCAATCTTTTGAAACTCCAGGCTTGGGGCGCCTGGGTGGCTCCGTTGGTTAAGCAACTGCCTTCGGCTCAGGTCATGATCCTGGAGTCCCCGGATCGAGTCCCGCATCGGGCTCCCTGCTCAGCAGGGAGTCTGCTTCTCCCTCTGACCCTCCCCCCTCTCATGTGCTCTCTCTCTCTCATTCTCTCTGTCTCAAATAAATAAATAAATAAATCTTTAAAAAAAAATAAAATAAAACTCCAGGCTTTAAGCCCCGCCAGTTGCAAAATCTCACAAATTTCAGCCCCTCTCGCCTTCCAAGCCACTGGCTTTGGGTAAACCGTTCTCCTTGTGTGCATCTCCTGTGTGCTCCTCTCTCCCAGCTCTGCAGCAGCCAGGAGCCGTTTCTCCCCCTCGCCAAGTCTCCGCACTTCCTACCTTCTTTGGTGTGGCTTCTTCTCTCCCTTTAGTTGTGGAGTTTGTTCTGCCAGTATTCCAGTTGGTTTCTGCGGTTATTTAGGATGATTTGAGAGTTGTTTTTTTTTTTTTT